TATTCAAGACTGAGTATATATTATTTAAAATATGGACTTTCGAGAGAAATAAACATTGAATTCAAATAGAAATCAACCTACCAGCAATGTTTCCCGCCCCTCCAGTGGGCACCACCACCTCCAGCTCAGGCAGGTCTCCGTCAGCCTCTGTGTGCTCGATACCACTGAGCTCTAGGTAAGCGTAGATGAAGTGGGCCAGCTGGACCATGACTCTTGACCAGTTGACTGAGTTGAGGCTCATGAGACTGTGAGAGCTGACCAGCTCCTGGTCTGCAAAGAGACGCCGCAGAGGCCGATCTATGTCATCTGAGCTGCCGTCGGCTAGAGAGAGAAAGTCGCACGTCATTTGATTGTGATCGATTATTAGAAAGCAGCAATTGGTCCTTTTGCTTCTTTGGATTTACCAGAAAACACATGGACATTGTCCTCCAAGCAGGTGGTCATGTGTTTCTCTTGGACTGGTGTGATGCGTCCTCTGGGGTAAACCACCACCCAAGTCCAACCCCCTGAGACCCCTCGCACTCTGGACTGCTGAGCCACCTGTGTCTCCTGACGTACCTGGAGTGGACACCAGCAAGCTGACGGATTCCCATTCATTACGTTCATCATCTTATCGGTGCTACTTAGTATCGTCTTTGAGAACACGTCGATGCCTGTTTATTCCATGATAGCTTTTGTGTAAATGAGCTTTACCGTACTCTGAATAACATTAAGCTTTCCTTTCCCACTCAACAAATTATAAAAACCTGGTGATTTTGTGAAACTCCTTGCTCCCATGTAGGAGGGAAGATGTTTGCTTCCGGTTTCTTTCCGGCAGTCAACTTTAAAACATCGATGTCACTATGACATTGAATGTCCACTTACCTTAACCAAGTAAGTATTTAAATACTTCCTTAAACCCTTTGGGCCAAATAGGAACAGGGTTTATTATCATCATCACTCACTCCCTCCAATGGTGTAACGTCATCACTCACTCCCTCCAATGGTGTAACGTCATCACTCACTCCATTCAATGGTGTAACGTCATCACTCACTCCATTCAATGGTGTAACGTCATCACTCACTCCCTCCAATGGTGTAACGTCATCACTCACTCCCTCCAATGGTGTAACGTCATCACTCACTCCCTCCAATGGTGTAACGTCATCACTCACTCCATCCTTCTTTGCTGCACTAGTCCACTTGTAATCTGACCCGCTCTAGGGAGCGTGGAGTCCTCATGTTGGGTTTGCATTTTTTTTAACCATTCTGGCTGTGTGTTAGGGAGGGTTGGTGATGAATCCCCAACCCTCCCTGTCAGCCCACCACGGCCCCCTGGGGATCCCGCCCCCTAGTTTAGGAACCACTTCCTTAAGAGATTAGGTTTTATCATCAGGGCTCAAACAAGCCGATGCCCTTGTAGCGACGTCTCAGCTCAGATGGTAAAACGTATTCTTTAGTTGCCTCACCTGCCATTATCACCCATTAAGTCTTACCTACAAGAACAATAGCTGTGCGATTCTGCTTTTTGAGGAAATAGTTGAGGAAGCGCACTGTGCAAGTCATGGCCAGGTCCTTAAAGGCCATTGTGTCCCCATGGAAGAGCTCCAGGATTGACAGTCCCTCCTTCAGCCGGGCGATTCTCAACACCTCAGGTACAGAGAAACCAGTCAAGGCTTCACCCACAAGGACTGGGACGGGGAGAAAGAAAGAAAATCATTTGTTGTTTGCAGCTTGACTTTTATTGTTCTGAATATCAAAAGACATATACTTAAATTATTTGAGTCACTTCTTGCTTGATGTCTTCTATAAGTTACTTTTGAAGGAATACACTAACTGTCAAGCTTTTGGTTCATGTCCTGGTTTTCCAGTAAAGCAGTTTTTGTGTCTGGAAAGCCACGATGCTGCATCTGGGTCCTACTTCCGCCACTCCCCCGTTACACTTACCACGATTAGTTTTTACAGCAGTAGGCTATATACAGTCTGTAATCCTTTCCTTGAACATTTGTGAATATCAAATGACATTAATATTACTCCAGCTCACCCTCCAGGTCCAGTCTGGGGATAAGCCGAGTGGGGATGAACAGTGAGGCAACCTCCACCACCAGTTGGGTGTAGGTCAGCCCTTTCCAGGTCCTCAAGGTGTTGGGGCTCAGCACAGGTACATTCTCAGGTATGAACATACCGCCGTCGGGAGCGAATCCCGAAAACAGAACTTCATGGAAGTCCCATCCATGGACGCCACCTCGAGTACTGCAGTACTGCATCAGACCGACCTGGGGAGGGAGGGATACCTGATCTCAGATCCGACATGCTGAGTAACGCAGAATGACAGTATCAGAGTATCTGAAGTCTAAAGCAGGCTTTTGAACTCACTCTGTTGTTGCGCTTCATTCCTTCACTTCTACTGAAAGTCCTCTAAGAAGGCGTTACATTCCCCAAGAAACACACAGTCCATCAACAGAGCATCGCTATCACCTCTTTGAAGAGCGAGGACCCCCCTGCTTCTGTGTTGGTTTGTTAGATAAACTAAACCAGTATAATATTAGTTAATTTTGGTCCTGCATTCACAGTTACCTTTGGGGCACATGACACTTTTTTCTCTGGTCCTCTCCATAAATCGCTCTTCCCTTTTTCCCCCCCAGCTATTTTTTTTGGGAGAGTTGTATGTGTACAGACCGTGTTATACCGGGCTATACAAATAAATTGAGATTGGTTGATTTGAAAAAATATTAGTTGGAATATATTGTGATGGCATGATGCATAATACAATAAAGTTGTGTTAAATCCAACATAATCGATACAAAGGATGTGTTATTGATCGCTACGGAGTGTAACTACCTTAAGTACTGTGCCTTTTGTATTGTTCTTTCTAATACTAGGCGATTAAGTTTCAGAGGGAAATCATCATGGTATTTTTACTACACTACAGTTAACATAACAGCCGCCTATGCATTTGCTGTTTTGTCTTAGAGGCCTAATTAGAACACGTTTCACATCACTTGGTGTAGCGGCATTCCTTTAGTAACGTACGTTATTAAGCGTTTCTTAACGCAAATAACAGGAGATCTTTAAGGTTTTTTTGTTTGGTGTTTATTTCACGCAGCAAAAGCGTGACACATTCCGTCACGCGGTAGAAAAACTGCTCTGGTGCCTGTTCAGCTCATCGCAGTTGCACCTGCTGCAATTATGTCGTCAATATAAAAGAGTAAATAAAGGAAACGTCAATCCAACATATATGCCTCTCAATATGTGCCATATGTTTTCAGCTCCTGCACAACATGGACGAATCAAGAACCAAATAATCAGCACTTCCAAAACTCCAATTGACCAATATACGCACATCGGGCTCTTCCAACAAAAGTACATTTCCCACTGGAGAAAACTACCCGCGTGTATAAAAAGTAGTTAGATCCACAGTCAAGACATATATTTACTAGTATTTGCATTGTGGTCCCTTCAGCATATATCCTGCAGTGTGTTGAAGGAGTTCATTCAAAGATCACAGCAGAACATGATTCACATGTATGTTCTTTTCATATAATAATGAACCTGAATGAGGTTTGAAGCACACTGTGACATCACGACAGGTGTGTGCTGACATAGAACGTATTGCACTCCCCTTATCAGACAACCGTGATCACGTTACTTAATCACAATACAGAACAGTCGATGAACCTTTCACCCTGTTTAAATGTCCTTTTACTAGAGCCCGTAACTCATGGCAGCTATCATACCAGCGGTGTGCACAGATAGTACAAATACACCACCATTATACTACCTCACAGAGCATGTGCCGTACTTACCGGTCAAATAGATTTATACAAAACTCTCTTCAGTTTCTCCTAAGCAACACATGCACACACACGTCCTGCCGCTCTATGCTGCCAACCTTTCTACACCAATGCATCTATTGACAAGCTGATGATTGTCCCAGCGCAGATAATAGGTGATCTTGAACTTTGGAACCACCTACCCAAGGAAATACTTACTCCTTATAAAGTAGACCGACTTCCAGATAACTTGAGATTTTGTATCCATGGTTTGTGTAAATGCATTACCCTATTACGTTAGAATAGATGGAATTACCGAATAGGAGTAATGTCAGGTTCCGTGTCAGGTTGATAGTAAACCACATCAGAGTGTCACCCAGGGATGATCAGGACATTATGATGTACCATTTCAAAATTAAAGCCCTGCCATGTCAATATGGGTCAGAATCTCTGTGGAACGTTTCCAACACCTTTTTTATAGTATGCCACAAATAAGGCAGTTCTGAAGGCACAAGGGGTTCGGATTTTTAGTAGTAACTTGATCAAAATAGCAGGTGTAGTACAACAAGTACAAGCCCATGCACATGTGGCATGATATTGGTGATGCTACCGTTCATAACAGTGAAGTTATTGAATATTTCTGTGATGTGTTTTTTTGCGTTGCACTTTGCAGACGGTCCCTGCGGACTCGTGTCATTAAGATCAATGTCAAGCTCCTGCACTGGTCCGTACTGGTAAGATGGTGGTTAATTGTGGTTGTAGCTGGTTGTCAACATCACTGCGGTTACAGACAGGAGTCGTCTGTGTTTTAACAACGTTTCGCTGACGAGCTGTTGAACCTGTGAATATCTTACAGAACTTTCCGTTACAATAGCATTTACAGAAACCCCGACGTGTTTGACGGGTTAGCGTAGCTAGCTATCTCTGTTAGCATACTTTGGGTCTGTATGCTGATTTGGACAATTTATAAAACAGAACTTACAACTGTTTCTGAGTCGTTGAAAGTGCGTCTGGTGACTGAAACTCACGGCCGCCAGATACGAGGTGACTGCGGTCTGCAGCTCGGGGACGGTGTCTGTGTGTATATATATCTACATATATATATATATCTACGGTGGCCCCTACCGGAACACGCGTGTACAAGCATTACGGTAACGGACTTCAAAATAAGGGCATAGTCCCATCCAACATGATGGGCAATTCACGAGTCTGTTAATAACTAATAAGGTAACAAATAATTAAACAAACTAATGTATTAGTTAACTACTGCATTTTAGAAATTAAATTCCAGTTCTGTGAATACTTCCTTATCCACAATAGTACAGAAGACCAATCTGACCAAAAAATACAGTTTATTAAGGGACTTAATTTAATTTGGGATTGATCGCAGAACAGCTTAAATTGTAATATCAGGACATCCTGCTATATATTTTGAAACTGAAAGTGCATTAACACATGACATCTCATGCATGAGCCGTTTTTCCACTGATTGGAATTAAAAGCAAACGGCCAATCGTCAAACTATTTTACTAGACAAGCCGATAACCTCACAAGACGATGTTAGATTATATTAGAAACTTTTAAACAATCACAATCTCACCGTGAGTGTGTATATACTACTAATAACAGGCTGTTCCCCTCAGTGGGCAAGGAGAACAGCCAATTGTCAATACCTCTTCCAATTGGCTCAAAAGATTGTGGGCGGGACTTATTTCACACTCGTTTAACCCGACTAAAGGTGGCTCTTCAGGGCCACTTCATCTGCAAGGTTACCTACAACACGAGCTGCTGGTATCTGGTAAAGATGAATAGAATACCGTCAGAACTGATGGAGAGGATGAGGAGGATCTGTTGTCATTAGTTACGCCTGTAATGGTGAAAAGGCTGCTGGAGACATGTTTAAATAATTACAACGTTTTTGAGGACTGATCTACAATTTGCTCACCTACTTGGCTTCACAAAGACAGACGTTTCATTTATACGATCATTCATTTTAATGTACAGCTGCAAACGTAAAAGCATGTATTCAAGTTGTATCATGGTACACGTTACAAAATGTGCTTAAAAAATTAGAAACATGCAATTCATTGACATAAGACAGAGTATAGAGAAACACACACACACACCTTGGTCATTCAGAGTGAACTGAATCTTTTGGATTTAGATCTATCTAACTGAGGGACACTCAGCAGCAAAGATGCTGCTTGAGAGGGAACGCTGTCAGGAGCGCAAACATTTCATAATCAAATTCAAATCTCTGAACTGTGTCTCAGACGTGGGGATCATTCAGGTTCAGACAGGCCATCCGTTTAACACAGTTCTTAAATTATAAAGATTTAACACTTTAATATAATTGAATGGTTCCATACTGAGGTGAAGATCAACAGAACTTCCATAGCACAAACCTGCATAATATTAAAGAGTACATTTCAATAGCGTGTTCTGATTAGGACGGTCACATAAGAGAAAGGAACTCAGGGAAATGCTCTGGTTTCCATTTGGAGTGTGCATACGAAGAATGAGATTACAAAATCCTGCACATTTTACAACATGCTAGTTCATACTGACGCGGGGAAGCATTTCATCAATGAGCTCGATGAAGAGTTCCTCGTACCACTGTGCATCTTCTATCAGCTATCAAACGCTCTTCTAAACAGCTTCTGAGATCACTTGTCATGCTTTTTCCCCAACTGAACCTTCTTAACATGTCATAATGCACATTTCTATTTGATCTTTGCTCAATACATGAGCAGCATTGCCACATAGATTCCATAGTCTGGGCAGGTGTTACACTGAACAGCATCATGCTGAACCCTGGAGGAGCTCAGCTATTTGAACATCAGCTGCAGGCTGTGCAGTGTTGTTCAGTCGCTACTTCAGCTTCCCACCATGTCACTGTAAATCTTAAGACCCATAAGCTAACTTATTGAAACGGGAAAGAGCTACTCTTAGCTTCATGCAAATCATCAAGCAGAGTTTACACTGAAACCCCCCTCACGCCCTTTTCTGCTCTATCAGAAGCTGCTGGCTGTCCTCAACATGCCGAGCAAAGTATCTTGAGCTAACTCAGTCCAAGCCTTCAAAAGACGAGCAAATAGTACAACACAGAGATGTTGGCAGTCATCTCTCCCTGATTCACTGATTGACCTTTTGAGGTGTTACCTAAAAGGCTTGAACTCGGTTTGGGAATATAGCAGAGAACCATGTAGCCGAGGCCACTTCCACACACTGCTGATCGACTATTGCACTCGCTAAAGGATCAGATGTGGTGGAAGATCAAAGTCTCTTTCAAACTGACTGAAACTTTTCCTCGGCTACAGAGCAATAAAAACGCATGCAAAGTTTAGTCAATTCAAGATCATTTTAAGGCAAATTTCAAATTCAGCTACTTGTGCTTCTTTTGATATCGTAGAAAAATATGGTTGTGTTTCTTAAAGCGGTGTGACGTATTAAGGGGATGCTGCTGTTGAAATAATATGTCTACGTTTAAAGAATACTCGGGGTAGTTTCTGTGCGCTGGTGCCACAGAAAGCAGCAGGTCACTCGCCGTGCCGAGCTTTATAAGAAATACTCTGTGATGGGACACTACCAGTATTGGAACAATAGTCTTTCAATACTTTTTTGCTGTGTCGAAGACATCCATCACAGTCCCAACGGGAGAAAACAGGTCATGTTGAGAAACAATGTTAAAGAAATGAGGATTTTTCAGAGGGTGATTAAACAGCATGTTTAATAGGCCACGCCCATTACTTCAGATTTATTTGATCCACGCAGAAAATGTCCCACAAACACCGTCTCCCGTTTCACAGGATTAAACAGAGGACGACTTTTGTTACATTAAAAACCTTCAACTTTGTAAAATAGAACAAACAGAACAAACTGCACTGTCGGTCAAACCAATGAAACATTTACTCAATCTGACAACATGTGGTGGCAGAGACATGTGTTTAATCCTTTGACAAACTAAGACCTGTAGTGTAGGACTAATGTGGCACATGTCCAGTGCAGCCACCATCATCAACTGGTCTCCACGGGAGAGACGGCCGTGAGACCAGTGCTCACCGCGCAGGGAATCGTCTCCGCGGCCAGTGAAAACGCAGCCGGCGGGCCGCTTTTCTTCCTTGTGTCCCATGACAACGTTCTGTAATGTCTAAACTCTCTCCTACCACGTCCCAGCAGAAAGGGCAGGAGCCAAAGAGCCAACGGGTTAAGAGTTGTCCCGCAGATCTTTGGCCTTGGTCAGGATGGTGTGCACATCCGAGATGGGGTAATCCTGAAAGGAGAAGAAACAAATCCATTTTTCTGCACTGTGTGTCTAATAATGAAGCGTCCCAGCGGATTATAAAAAGCTTCACCTGCAGTGACCTCATGTTGACCGTGAAGTCTCCGGCCAGTAGATTGTCCCGGATGAGTCTGTGGATAGAAACCAGGGTTCACTTATAAAGCCATACGGGTGGATCAATGCACAGGATCCACAGTGTGAACCGCTCACATGAGCATGGCGCAGCACACCAGGATGAGGAAGTGGAACCGGTCCTGGTCCGAGAACAGAGTGTCCCAGATGCGGATGACATCAGGCAGGAGGAACTCCTGCGATAGCAGCAAGGTCAACCAGCGGAATGTGAAATACTGCGGTTTGATGTTCTGCTCTTCCTGTGTGGACAGAAGACAAAGACAGACATGGTGGGGACACGACCATATCGGTTTGAATCATCTTTCAGATTGACCGGTTCCTGCTGCTTTTCTTGATCTGATGGTAAACTATATATTCTGTCTCAGACAAACAAAGCAATCAGAAGACACAGATGAGGTTCTAGGAACATGGGATGGACATACATTCCTAATAAGATGTAGTTTTATCTGGTGTAGCAGAGGAGACAGAAGAGTGAGGCGGACATGTTTACTGCGAGTCACTTCTGCAGGGCCATACCAGCTTGAGAAAGAGCTCCAGGTCCTTGTCCTTCAGCATGGAGTACACGCTCTCCATCTTGTAGGTGATGCCACACTGGGAGTCATCCAGGCTCTTGATGAAGTTGTCTCTGTTCTCCGACATCAGGTTGGTGAAACAAAAGAACGTATCCGCTTCAGCGTGCTCTGAACAACGGAGCAGACGGCAGGTCAAAAAGGGCCGGCTTCCACTTTCAAGGCGCCCAACGTCTCAAACGTTCCGTTTCGATGCAACCCACCTTTCCACTGGCTGTTGGGGTCCGTGGCAAAAGTGTAGTAGATTGGCCCAACGATCTCATTCATGCCCTGGACATAAGCGATCCCAGGGTTGAGTTTGGCATAGATGAAGAGGATCCGCTCCACCACCTCCCAGTGTGCCTCGCTCCCATTGGGCAGCACCTCATACTCGTTGGATGGATACAGGTGGAACGCCTTTCCGGGGGAGCTGACCTGGGAGAGCACATTCAGTTCAACCACACGTGGAGCCGCTAGTCTGCAAACGATGTTTAATGCCGATTACGTGCAGCACATATAGTGACATTTATGTAGGAAAAGGAGCGGCAATTCGGTCTATCAGGGAGTACAAAAACCAGCAGGTGCCTGTACTATGAAGCCAGTTCACTGATATCAACTAGCTCCACTGACCTCAGCACCCGCTAACGCTCTAAATCAGAGGTGGCCAATAGGTCGATAGCCACGACAGTGCCGATAGATCGCCTGCCATTGGAAAAACAGTCAGTGGGGTCACGGAAAAGCTGGTAGTGCTCACAGCGATCCTTACACATGAACACATTTAAGATCGATGCAAAAGTAGCTCACAAGCAGACAAGGTGTGGGCACCTCTGCTCTAAATGCTCCTCCAGCAGCCAAGGTATCTCACATAAAGGGGCGGGCCTTACAGCATCTGACCAACCACACAACACATCTGCTGTCAAGAGCGCCAGATTTTACAAATATATCTATTACATTAGATAAAGACAAGTAAAGACGAGACCCAAGATAAACAGTTTAAAGGAGGAAGGCGACAAAAAAAAATTCATAATGTCACAATAAATGTGTGTGTGTATTGTTTCATTAGTGTGTCACAGTATGTTATTCCTTATTCTTCCAGCTGTAAACCCCAGAGGAGTGAAGAGAAATCAACGGCAAATATAAAAACAATTCAATTCATGAAGGTTTCCTCCCATAACCTATAATTACCACAAAACTGATTAAAGTAACCCTGCGCTCATCTTTCTCACACACACACACACACACTTACATTGGTGACCCCACTGCGGTTGCGGTTTACAGTTTGGGCTTTCAGCGTGGTTTGTTCCACTCGCCGTCGCAGCGTCTCGTACTCATTCTGAGGGTCCAAGATGAGTTGGCAAGGGTATTCTGTGGGGCGCTGGAAGAACGCCATGTCGGGGTACAGCCGCCTGCAAACAACATTACACTTCACCCGACCGTTGTCATTGCGCCCTGGTACCAAGAGGCCCGGCGGTGGGGGACCACTGGTCTGGAGCAACTATCCTGCTCCGAAATAGTGTCCGAACGAGCTCTCTGAAGACACCAGGACCACAGGGAGCCTTCACATGTTCCGCCGCAGAACTTAAGACACACATCTTCAGACTCACAAACTATAGCACTTAAATTGTACTTATAATGGCTCTTATCTATAGCAAGTTGTAGATCGGCTTATTTGAGGAAATTGCACTTTCTGTATCGGTATCACTATGGTTGAAATGCACTTATTGTAAGTGGCTTTGGATAAAAGCGTCAGCTAAATGACATGTGATGTAAAGCATACAGATGGATTACCTCACATCCTTATCAATTTGTAGCAGAATCTCATTGTCTTTGAAGTAGTTATTCCACCTGCTGTCGGGGTTCGGATTCAGAGGCTGAAAGAACAAGACAGAAAAACCAGACGCACCTGTGAGCAAAGAGCGAGCGAGCACACGCACACACACACACACACACACACACACCTCTCTACATTGTAGATCAATATTGAAGACTCAAGTAAAACTATGAAACAACACAGAAGGAAGTGTGTGTTAAACAAACCAGAATACGTTTAGAATATACACACACTACCGTTCAAAAGTTTGGAGTCACTTAGAAATGTCCTGTTTTCTTCAATGAAGATAATAAATCAATCAGAAATACTATTGTTATCTATATCTATATATTATTAATGTGGTAAATGACTATTCTAGGGGGAAACGTCAGATTTCTAATGAAATATCTACATAGGTGTATCAAGGCCCATTTACAACAACCATCACTCCTAATGGTGCATTGGGTTATTATGTTAGCACAGTTATGCTATAAAGAAGCTATACAACTGGCTTTGAGCTAGTTGAGTAACTGGAGCATCACATTTGTGATTCTTCTCGGCAGAGTGGCAGAGAAAAAGCCACATCTGAGACTGGCCAATACAAAGAAAAGACTCATATGCACAAAAGAACACAGACATTGGACAGAGGAAGAGTGTAAAAAGTGTTACGGACACACAAATCAAAGCTTGAGGTGTTTGGATCACACAGAAGAACATTTGTGAGACGCAGAAGAGGTGAGAAGATGCAGAAAGAGTCCTGACGCCTGTCAGGTGGTCCGAGGCCTCTTTGGTGCTGGTAAAGAGGGAGGTTCGTACAAGGTAAAGGGGATTTTAAATAAGGAAGGCCATCACTCCATTCTGCAACGCCACGTCGTACCCTGTGATTAGAGCCAATTTCCTCCTACAACAGGACAAAGCACACCTCCAAATTATAATAAGAGGAAGAAGCAGGCAGCTGGTGTGGTGTCTGTAATGGAGAAGCCACAAAGTCACCAGATCTCAACCGCATTGAGTTGCTGTGGGAGCAGCTTGACCGAATCCTACGCAAGAAGTGCCCATCAAGCCAATCCAACTTGTGGGAGGAGCTTCAGGAGGCGTGGGGGGACATTTCTACAGGTTACCTCAACAAACGAACAGCTAGAACGCCAAAGGACTGCAATGCTGCAACCAGTTCTTCAAACTTTGCTTTTTTTATGTCTATGATAATATTTTCTATTCACTTTGCATCTCATTTGATAAATAAAAGTTTTCATAAGAGTTTTCATGGAAAACACAAAATTGTCTGTGTGGCCCCAAACGTTTGAGCGGTGGTGTAAATACACCGGCCACTTTCTCAGCTACACCTGTTCAATTGCTTGTTCACACAAACAGCTGATCAGCCAATCACAAGGCTGAATGAGACTTTTAGGGACTTTGAACGTTCCATGGTTGTTGGTGCGTCAAAGTGCTGATCCAGTGGGATTTCGGTTGGGGGAGAATTGTTGAGTCGGCGTAGAGTGACGCACTCAGGAATGTGACCTTTGATGTGAGCCTGTGACCTCAGACAGTCCAGGGTGAGAGAGGACACAGAGGGAACCATACGTGCCCTGACTGACCTTTTAGAGGTTATTGATTGACTGGGTCCCATTAAGGGAGGGTCTACGTCGTCTGGTACCATTCCATACGCTCCTCTTTCAGGGGGGGCTCTCCTGTGCTGAAGTGTATAGAACCTCCTGTTCTCCCCCAGAAACTTGGTCAGATCTTCCGGCTCCTTTTGGGGGGGGGAACAATCTGCCCCTTTTCAGCTGAATTGTCATTTGACTTCTGTCTGTACTTACAGCTTGTGTTGATGATTTCTGTATTCTTTAGCATTTTTATATATTCTAGTTAGTAATAAATACTTAATCACAAAGCAAGTTTAAGATACTTTGGATTTCTCACAAGGGCTTAATCCACAAATTTCCACCACACTCTTTAGGGTCTACAGGGAAGAGTCCAAAAAGAGAAAATATCCAGTGAGCAGCAGTTGTGTGCAGGACTTGACATTATCACCCGCCGACCCGCCAAATGTGGGTAGAATCTAAAATAATAAACTCATTGCAGGGTTCTCAAGCCTCACACATTGGCCGTGACACACACACACACACAGTTCAACGGGGTCACACGCCACACCTTGAGAACCAACACCGACCGCGTTGTCCTGCTACCGTATCGTTTCCCCTCTCAGCCACCGTACCCTCGTTACTAAGCAACAATGACGTGAACACACGTGACAGGTGAAGGCTTTTGATAAAACTTTGGCTCAGAGAACCAGGAGGACGGACACAAAGGAGAAAAACAGGATGAAATCAAAAATGAAGAGGAGACAAAGAAAAGACTGTTCAACGAAAAGTGGAGGTCCAGTCGAGAACGGCTGGTTTATGATCCAGCCAAGAAAATAATGTAATAAACTGATTGTAGGACGTACGGCAGTGAAAAAGGTTAAGGAGGTCTCTTTTCTATTTGGGACAAGCAACTTCACAATGGAAACAACTAAGGACCATTTCCGTTGGCCACGTCAAAAGCTTTGTGACTAAACGGACAAAGACAACAAAGCGTTTTGGTCCCTGGTCCTCACGAAGGCGGCAGAGCTTTACACCGCCTGTACCAGTTATATGGAGTCAGCTACTCTTTCTGTCTTAATCAGTTGCATATGCTTCCTCACAAAAGAAGCTTTACACACTTAACAGGGCTGAAGATTTGGTGACTGCATATAAACATTTTATGTAGTCTCGATTTGGGTCAAATTAAACTCAATTTCACAACCACAAGAATTGTGGATAATGAAACCTTGAACCGTGAAGGAACCTTGAAGAAGATACTACTTCAGCAGAGGACCACACCAGGGCCACTCCTGTCAGCCGAGACTACAATTCACACAGGATCACCAAAACTGGACAATAGAAGATTGTAAAACCTTGTCTGGTCTGATGAGTCTCCATTTCAGCTGCGACATTCATATGGTCGCATCAGAATGTGGCGTAAACAACATGAAAACATGGATCCATCCTGCCGTTTAGCAACAGTTCAGGCTGGTGGTGGTGTGGCGGTGAGGGGGATATTTACTTGGTACACTTTGGGCCCCTTAGTTGACCGTCCATCCCTTTATGGCCACAGTGTACCATCTTCTAATAGCTACTTCCAGCAGGATAACGCACCACGTGACAAAGCTTATATCACCTCAAACTGGTTTCATAGATGTGCAGCCGACAGAGCTGCGCTGTGCTATCGTGTCCATATAGACCAACATCTGCGAGGAATGTTTCCAACACCTGGTTGAAAGTCTGCCACGAAGAAATAGGGTAGTTAATTAAGGCAGAAGGGGCTCCAACCTGCCAACCTTTCACTAGCAAGGCGGACATAATAAAGCGGCCGGTGAGAGTGTGCATATATTACACACACACACGTTAGTATTTAGGATGAGCCAGATTAAACATAGTTAATGGTTGCTGTAGTGATTATAGTAAAGACAAATTATTAACATTGGCCTGAGAGATCTTTACCATATGTAAAAGATATGACAGGTGTCATGTGCACAACAGTCGATCATGTGACAGAAATGATACATGTAATGAGAAGAAGTAGCAGCAGTAAGAAGCATTAATAATAAATAACAGCAGACTTGACTCACATGGTCCTCCATAGTCACATCTTCTCTAGAAAAGCCCATGTTGGCTTTTGCGATACCAGGCTGGATGATCATTTCTTTTAGGAACTGGGAGTACACCTCCCTGAGAGAGGGACAACAGGGAGGAACATTTGTTTAAATCAAGGTGTATACTGAGTAAAAAGGTGGATTAATCAGCTGACAAAAGATGAATAACAGATTCTTTATTTTTAATTAACAAGTTAAACAGACACACCATTTTTTGTTTAAAGCTTCTAAAATGGGATTTTATATGACTTTAAATTGAATATTTGGGGGTTTTAGTTGATTTTTTAGTCGCATCCAGGAAAATAAAAGGGCCATTTTTACATGAAACACCGAACAAACAATCGATAATTCACCATCCTAACCTGCAACAACCCTAAGCCCACATCTATATACATGACCTCCTGTTAGTTAATACGATATCCAAAACCTGAAAACCTGTGATCTAAACAAAGAAACAACACTAAAGGTTGTTTCTGCCCAGCTGGCTTCACAGCGAGACGCAATACACGGCGCCAGGCCGTTCGTCCGAGCCACCTAACGGCGTCACCTCCTGTCACCAGCTATGCTGATTGGAAGCAGCTGACCTCCATGTTATTTGATCAACGTGTTCTTCTTACCTCTGCTTTTTGAGAAAAGACTCCCATAACGTCTGGTCGAAAGGCAGATAATTAAGAAGGATCTGAAAAGTGAGGGAAATAATCACAAGTCAGGGTCGGCCATAATTTAGACTATGGGCAGCATCAAAAGACAATTTATGGATATAGAATGAGAGAGGAAGCGTTGTGTACTGTATGAGTAGTCAGATGAGACCTCCTGGAAGCTTGTGTGAGTATGGAAGATGAGATGAGAATAACGAGCTTCCTCGTCTTGCAGGCAATTTAAAGCTGGATCAAAGAACCACTCGTGGCATTTTCAACTTTTCACATCCAACAATTATTCTACAATTTTGAATGTTTTGCTGGTCCGTAGTTTACTGAAACCCTGCGATGTAATGTTTTCTGAAGGACACGTGGCTCCAGATGGAGTGGAAGGTATACAGCAGTTTGAATATGTTAATGATGATGTATCATCGAGCATTCATCAGGTGGAAACAGGCTGGTGCAGTTTGGTCACTAGCTTAGGTTTTAGTTTTCTAATTTGTCTAGCAGCGTGTGATCGCCGTAATTGTCATAGTCAGTCTTCTGATAAAATCTGACATCATGCATATTACATTTAGGGACGATACAAAGAAGGGCGATGCGATCACCATTCTTGATAGGGATTGTACAAAGGCAATGAAGTATCCCATTCATATGAGATGTTCACAGTTAGTTACAATCCCTTCTCAGCATAGACAATGTTTATTTATGGCTATTTGACGTTGGACAGGCAGATCGATGAGTCACACTCAATGTTTTTTTTCCATTCTTCACAGTACAGTTTGTTTGCTGTTCTGGAGGATAATGCATGAAAAAGTGCATGAAGTATAAACACTTGCATACATGCCCGCCTTCTGTGGTGTGCAGGGGGAACTAAGCCATGTTGGATCCGACTTGTAACGCAAGCGGAACTCAAGGAAAAATGTGCAAAAGCTTTGGGATGTTTGTAAATGTTGTTGCATGAGGGCCGATGTGTCACGCACAGAAGTTTAATAAACAACACAACTTACTTTCCAGCAAAGTGCTCGTATGCCCCCTTCGAATGGGATTCCTGAGTTGATTAAAGAAAATGACAATAAGATCTAACACAAACGTGATCAGTTTGAGCACACAGAAGCTGGAGGAGGGAGAGTTACCGTTGAAGCACAGCTCCCTCAGGGTCTTCAGGTTTATGTTTTCTTCACTCAAGGTTTCTTTGAATTCCAGTATTCTGAAATAAGAAACGAGACGAGGTCCGAACCAATGGTACGTCTGAGTTACTGCTCAGTGACAAAATGCCTCAGACATCATATACACAATGTGAACTCATAACAAGTCATATTGATTCCTAAAACCTTTGTGACAATAACTTTAAAAGAACAGTTTTACATATTGGTTAGTGTGCTTAATCCTTTCTTTCCACGGGTGAGATGAAAGCATAGCATTAAGAATAAACCATTGTTGGCGTTTCTTATATTCAAATGCAATGTGGTTTAAAATCCAGTCAGAGAAAAAGGAAATTATTATTATTCAGAAATTATGAAAGTGGTTACTTAATCGAGCCCAAGGACTTTGTCCAAGGTTTGTCTTAATGGTCTTTAGCCATATACAGCAGTAACGTTAGCGGTATAGCTAACTGCTATACAGCAGTAACGTTAGCGGTGTAGCTAACTTGCTATACAACAGTAACGTTAGCGGTGTAGCTAACTTGCTATAGAGCAGTAACGTTAGCGGTGTAGCTAACTTGCTATACAGCAGTAACGTTAGCGGTGTAGCTAACTTGCTATACAGCAGTAACGTTAGCTGTTTAGCTGCTATATAGCAATAACGTTAGCGGTATAGCTAACTACTATAGAGCACTAACGTCAGCGGTGTAACTAACTTGCTATACAGCAGTAACGTTAGCGGTGTAGCTAACTTGCTATACAGCAGTAACGTTAGCGGTGTAGCTAACTTGCTATAGAGCAGTAACGTTGGCTGTTTAGCTAACTTACTATACAGCAGTAACGTTAGCTGTTTAGCTGCTATATAGCAATAACGTTAGCGGTACAGCTAACTGCTATACAGCAGTAACGTTAGCTGTTAACGTAGTGTGTCAGCTGATGTGCTAACCAGGAGATAGCATAGCTACTAGGATCGGTTAAGTTGCTAACGTTATATTAGTTAACTGGTAAAGCGCTAAGAAGTCTCTGTGTTTTCGACATTTAACTAGATGTGACACAGAAGTCGCCAACATCTACACGCGGAATGTTTTTGCTATGTTTGTCTCGCCAGCGTTTCTGATGCGCTATCTGGACCGGAGCGGTTCTCGGTCTACTGGTCGGCTGCTAGCTGCTGCTGCTATGGAGGATGTGCGGTTATCGTAGGATTCAGACCCTCCGCGTGTCCTGCGTCTCCTCCAAAGACAAAGACGTACTGTGTCCCACCTGTTTTTGTACGCAGATGACATGATGGTGTCTCGTCAGGCGGCGGTGTATTCCTTTTACTGTCCCCAGAAAGGACTGAAGAGATGTCCAGAGGGAGGTCCCCCTGTCACTTCCGTCTTCACAACAACGATGCAGCCGCTGGCCACAGTCACACCGTCACAATGGGCTCATGTGTCTGCAGCCAGGCCAGCTTTCATAAACACAACGTCACATGTAGTAGTTGCACAGGTTGCATTTCAATTAACGTGTAGTTATAAATATACCATAACCGACCACTTAAAGCCGAATGTGAAACACTGACTGTGATTTGTTGTCACGCCGCTAGGTGGCGGCCCTGAGTAGAAAGTACACGCCGTGTGATGCTCGAAGCAGCAGCAGCGCCCAGTCCGACAAGTGGTCGGTGGAAGGTTCCTTTTTCAGAACGGCAGGTTGCGGCGGTCGGTCCTCTGGTGGTCGGTTCCTCTGGTGGTCGGTGGGTCGGTTCCTCTGGTGGTCGGGTTCCTCTAGTGGTCGGTGGTCAGTTCCTCTGGTGGTCAGTGGTCGGTTCCTCTGGTGGTTAGTGGTCGGTTCCTCTAGTGGTTAGTGGTTGGTTCCTCTGGTGGTCAGTGGTCGGTTCCTCTGTTGGTCAGTGGTTGGTTCCTTTGGTGGTCAGTTCCTCTGATGGTCAGTTCCTCTGGTGGTCGGTTCCTCTGGTGGCGGGTGGTCGGTTCCTCTGTTGGTCAGTGGTCGGTTCCTTTGGTGGTCAGTTCCTCTGGTGGTCGGTTCCTCCGGTGGTTGGTTCCTCTGGTGGCGGGTGGTCGGTTCCTCTGGTGGTCGGTTCCTCTGGTGGCGGGTGATCGGTTCCTCTGGGGGGTGGGTGGTCGGTTCCTCTGGGGTCAGTGGTCGGTTCCTCGGGTGGTTGGTTCCTCTGGTGGTCAGTGGTCGGTTCCTCCGGTGGTTGTTCCTCTGGTGGCGGGTGGTCGGTTCCTCTGGTGGTCAGTGGATTTTTTCTTCTTTTTGGTAGGGCCAGCCAATCAGTTTCGGTAAACATCCCAGTATGATTCAATGCAAAAAAGGGTATCCAACACAAATTATTACTTTGCAGTTACATATCAAACATTTATTCCAACAGTTTAACATAATAATGACATCTTATTCAAACAATTCTGTATATCAATGAATATTTATATAACTACATATATATATAAAACTATTCAGAATATGAGATAACTACCATATCATAACTACTAGAAATATCATATAATGAATATATTATTAAAGGATAAATAAATTACAATATAAATATATAAAATCTATTATATATATTGAGATGAACATATGGGGAAACACCCAATCAGTGAGTTGAGGAAAGACCAACTCAAAAGCCCCACAAAACGCACAATTAATTACTTTGGATAAAATGTCCCTGTTTTCATCCACGTCCTGTCCTCACCGCAGTCCTGCGTAGCGATGTTAACTTCCCAAGTTGTTGGAACATTAATCCCATTAATGAACATCAATCACTTTGTTTCTTCCACAGAGCCTCCTTCTCTCCATACAGGTTTACATGGACCCTGTTCCTGTCTCCTGCCATGGCCCCGCTGACAACTGCTGCTGCTATCACTATCATTATTATCATTATTAATCACATTACTATTACTCATCATATGCCCACATTACGGACTTAAGACCCCAAGTGCTTTTGCTCCTCACATGTGTCTGTGGCTTATGGTACATCTGTTTAGTGGATGGTTATTCTGTACACATGACACTCGTTCCATACTCCTCCTCTCCATAAGGTTTCTTCCTTTTTTCTCCCCATTGAAGGTTTCTTTCTTTCCCCGTCCAATGTCAGGGTTTGTTCGGACAGAGGATGCCGCATGCCTGCAGACTGTAAAGCCTGCTGAGGCAAATTTGTGATTTTATGCTATACAAAATAAAATACATTGAATTGATGTTTCTGTTTTTGCAGTGCAATAGAACATCACATAATCCTTTGTTTCTCATTAATGGGATACCGTAATAAACAGTTTGCTTCACTAGAATACTGTTGTAGAAAAGTTCTGCAGGGTTCATTGCTGCATTAAGGAGGGCATCCTGGGGCAAATTTGTTCTTGAGTCCTCATGGATACAGGACTACAAGATCTGGCGATATTGAAGGATCTGCATTTGTTATCATAGTTTAGTGGTGCAGATTGTAGATTGTACACAAATCTGCAGTGGTTTGGGGGTCCTGGAACCTGGGCCATCTGGAAGAGAGAAAGTAATTCCAATCGTATAAGTAACGATCCGGAAATGTATAATGGAATAAATCATGTTGCATGTTGTTATGGTTTGGCACACAATTGCATAAACGTACAAAACAAACAAGGTGAGTGGAAAATAACTAGAATCAATTTAGGTTTCTTCTAAATGGTTTTGCTAAAAAAAATACTAGATAAGGTCGACTAGAGGAAAATAAGTCACGTTTTCATTACATGTTAACAGTAATACTACTAGCATACTCCAACTGCTACTAATGATAACTTTATCAACTGACCAACTTGATCAAATGCGTGAAAATAGGAATAATATATCCTGATGGACGAGTGATGGAATAGATGAAGAGGAATACCCAACATTGGAAGACTAGGAGGAAAGATTGAGGGGACGGGGGAGAAGTCAGAGGAGAAAGAGAAGGAGGAGGAGAAATAGGAGGAGGAGAAGGAGGAGGAGTCTGTTTGTTGACATCGGACGAAAGGGAGAATCAGATGAGTGAAGACTAATGATTAGAACTTAATTTCTCGCCGTCATCAAGACTTGGCGACAGCTAAGGTAAAGCCGCGGCCAACGAGCCGGCCGACCGCAGTTTGTTGTGTGTGTTCCCTCCCCGCGGGGGGCTTAGCTAGCGCTAGCCCCACTAGCCGTGTTAGCTAGCACCATTGAAGGGAAAGTAATCGTTAGCCGCGAGCTAATTTACAGGCTGAAAGGTAAGGTGAAGCGAAGCCTAAAATAACAAGTGCAGCTTCGTGGTGTATTCGGTGGTTGTGAGCGAGTAGGTTTACAGTTGTTGTCTGTTTGTCAGTGACTATTTATCGTTAGTGAATCATTGTACAATGTAGCTAGCTAGGAAGCCAGCTAACTTCGTAACAGTGTCCTGGGAGACCAAGACTCGCCGCGGTGTGTGGTTGACGTTAACGTAACTAACGTTAATACACTGGTAAGGAAAGTTATGTAGCAACCGCCTATCCGAAGTTTCCAAGTTAGCTTAACAGCAATAATACTTCAGCGTAAACTAAATACGCTAATTTAGTTCGAACCGTTGACACAAGTTGATGGCGAGTAACCGACGTTACGTGTGAAGGCTGCCCGTCCGAGGCGCGTGCGATGCCCGCAAAGAGGTCGTGAAACGGGACATAAATAGTCTGTATTTAGTATTAACAGAGGAGTCATTCAACATAGGTGGAACGACTTGAATGTCATTAGCGTAACTTGAATTAATTGATGTGAGTTTATTTCGTCGCATGAGGTTAAAGGGCACCACACAGAACACTTAACATAAGAGCAATATTTATTAACCTAAAACATGAATGCTTTACTGTGGCGAATGTCAAAGAGAGTGGAAAAATGAAACAATGCTTCCATTTAATCCTCACGTAAGTGACAATGTCAACGGGGACAGTTTAGCCGTCTAAGGTGTTTACTGTGTCCAATGACAGGTCCCCTGCACTGCCCTGTCCTCGGTCCGAGCAGGAGGAGAAGAGGCGAACATGGCGGCCAAAGCAGGAGACAACCCTGACAGCCTCATGACCCTGGCCACCATCTTCTGCCTCAGGAACCTGAGGAAGACCATGTGCTACCAGGGATTCAGGAGCAAGCTCAGTCTGCGCTCGGACATCTTCCTTCCCAGCGAAATCTGCGACAAGCTGGTTAACACGTATGGAGCTGCGTCGCTGTCATGGTTTCCCAATTCCCGAGAGTCTTCTTGGTCAAAATCCAATGATGTTTCATTTTTTTTTCCAAACAGATACATGGAGTTGGTGCACACAGACAGTAACTTTGAACCAGAGGAGAGCTTCTTTCAGCTATTCTCGGACCCTCGAAGCACCAGACTGACCAGGGTACAGCTGAGAGAAGACTTTGTGCGCGACAGAGATCTGGAGGCCATTAAAAGACAGGTGAGACATCACACGTTAGTCAAAGACCAGTTTTCAGCTCTCCTTTTGCAGTTCACCTCCGTGGCACATCTCAAATAGAAAACTTTCTAAAGACAAAACGAAGGCACTATATTGTTTTTCATTCTTTTTTTAAAGTATTATTTTTATAGTTTTCATTCCCATCAACCTAGAATTGCACTGTACTTAATTATGTAGACACAGACAAAATTAGACAATGTATATGAGACAGCATATCACAAGCAGTCATAATATGTAAACCTTTTTATTTGTAAATTAAATTCGTTTTTCTCCTAATGCATGGGTTTTAGGCAGGTTTGTTTGGTCAGGATTTGAGGAGGGGCTGATGACCAAACTGTTGGTTGATACCAATCAGACCACTCTGTCTATTTGAAGCCTTATTTTTTTTTCTGTCTAGCATTATTTATTTAAATGACAGTTAAGTCGCAAAATGAGAAGGTGGAGAATTGAAGAAGACCACTCATTACACCGGCTTTGTTTTTTTGCGTGTGTGCCCTGAGGCAACCTCTGGGTGTGAAAGACGACACCCGTGATGAACGGCCTTAAACCTGCATTCTCTCTACTGGCCACCAGGAGGCGAGCGCTCTGCTCCACGTCTGTCATACAACGACAGTCCATGAGACAATGACATTGTCCCCTGGTTTATTAACTATCCAAACATTGCCCCACCCACTAGCTGTAAGGCTTCTTCAATACAGCATTGTGATCCTATTTTTAGAGTCAAATTAAAGTTAAACTTTAGGGTGGGCTTACCGTGTGATTGACAGGCTTTTACCACAGAGTCATCTGGTCAGTCCGGACAGTTTTCTTTGTTTTTACCTCATGATCTTTCTGTGGTAATCTTTTTTACCTGATCAAACACAATTTTAACCTTTTGGTCTCCTGAAAATGTCCGGTTCGTCATTTATCAGAATCAGATTTGTTTATGTTATATGATAAATCATTTAGACCCATATCCTCCTCCGTAGATTATAAGTATGTTTTCTACTGTGATTCACCCACAGAGTCAGTGTTGGCTCAGTGGTAGTTATTCAGAGCAGGTTGTCCTTCAATCAGATGAGCGTGTGTATCATAAAGAGCCGTACAGTACATTTATGTCCTGTCAAACAGTGAGACGGAATGTTTTGTAACTTTTACCAATTAATTGCAGCATAATACAATTTCTAAATGTGTTTCATTAATGATTTACTTCTTGTCTCACTACAGGACCCGATTGAGCTGCACCTCACCTACTGCAATAGTCTGTCGTCCCGCAGCTTGAAAACACTGACCTGCTTCCGGGAGACCTTGGTTTCTCTTTGTCTCTTCGGCTGCAGCCACATCTTCTACAGGAAGGGCGGCGCCCCGCTCGCCTGCAACGAAGACACTGAGGACGAGGACGAGGAGAGCCCTGCTTCTAGGCAGGCACTCGAGACAGACTTTAGCTTCGAGGGCTTCAACCGCCTCAGGTTGCTCAACTTAGGTGGCCTGCCCGACGAGGTGGATGCTGAAAGTCTGCTCAGACCCCTGAAGTCGCTCATCTCACTTGATCTGTCTAATGTCCAATTGCCGGGAACAGCGTTTCTCACCCAGTGGAAAGATAGACTGGCATCCCTTGTGCTCTACAACGTCAACCTGTCCGAGGAGTTGATCAGTACAGTGGTGGAGCTTTCTAACCTCAGGTAAGGTAGGAGGGGCTTCTATGGGGAAGTTGGCATCATGCTCTTACCACAACATGGTGTAATAAACCTGGTACACCAGGTTTATTACATCTTTGCAAGTGAAAGCCTATCTGAAAGTATTCGCCCAAATGCAGACGTAAAAAAAAAAATCCTGACTTCCTTGAGGGGTGGAGCCCCTTGTTCAATGGTACAGGAAACACAATCTTTCTTATAAAAAGAACTGTATCAATTCAAAATATTTAAAAATATAATAAATACATTATCTACTCTCGTTTCAAGGACAATAAAGGATGCGTTGAAACATAAAATACGTAACAAAAAGACTTAATATATCTACTACATAATGAGTTTATTCAGTTCTTCAGGGGTGAAGCGATAAAAACAAAAAGGATTAAGTTTATAAAACAGCCACAGTATTTTTCTAATAAGTTTTATGTGGATTTATTACAACTGCGGTTATTAAACCACTTGTGTCAGCTCTTCCTCTCTGTTTACAGCTTAGTTACAGTTAGACGGTTCACTTCTCACTGAGCACTTCCCTTCTTTTTCTCTGTCTCTCCCCCCTGTGTGTAAATATCACTTCAGCCGGGACGCTTATCCGAACACACATATTTGTGTCAGTTATAAAAGTTATCCGTAGTGACATTGCAACATGTCAAAACATTCAAAGCTCTCAATTGTTGAATACAGTTATTTAATAAGTAAAACTGTCAATACATGCACCATCTAATGTTGTGTGTCCACGTAGTTCTTTAATGATGGACTGAATGGAATGATGGATGGAAATGGATGTTTCTGTCCATTTTTGTTGACAGTTTTATTTATTAAATAACTGTATAAAACAATTGAGAGCTTTGGATGTTTTGACATGTTGAAATGTCAGTATGGACTTTTATAACTGAAACTGCAATTCTATTCATTTTAATGTCCACATGTGTTGTTCCCTCTATATGGCCGCTAAGCATCTGAGAAGAATGCGTCTCTGTCATTGACAGGCATCTGGACGTCTCGTGGGAGACCAGGCGAACCTCTAAGTTTAAGATGAGCAGGAAAGTCCTGACGGCCATCGTGCAGCGTCTGGTCAATCTGGTGTCGCTGGACGTCTCTGGTCACATTATGTCGGACAACTGCACGGTTCCACACTTTGAAGAAGCGATGGGTCGGCCAAGGTGGGAAGCCAAATCTACGGGGAACGTTGGATCGTAGAGAAAATGTTGTCCTTGTCTTTCAGATGAACAATAAGCCAGTTTTTTTTCTTCTCTCTTTTAGCATCGAGCCTTGCAAGAGCAGCATCTATCCTTTCCAGGAGCTGAAAAGGCCGCTGCAGTTTCTGGGCTTGTACGACACCACCCTCTGTAATGTGACACACATCCCTGCTCATAAGGTACAGTTCAACACTACTATCACATCTACAGACAGACGGTCCGTTGTGCCAAACAAGCTGCAGTATTCTGTGATTCAAATGGAAAATGAATTCAGTGCATAATAAAAATGAGGGCTTTTGCTTTGTGAGTTACATCAGCGTGTTGTCGGCCTGTTTCAGGTGACCGGATCAAAGAACGAAGACCAGGTCCTGAATGCCATCGAGGCTTACACAGAGTTTCGCCCCGAGCTGGCCCACAGAGCCATCAATCAGCTGTTTGACATCGCCAGGATACAGCACTGCAGCCAACTGCTCCGAGCTTTGCAAGTACGATCCGTTTGATTTGGTCCTCCTCTTGAGGAACGGACAGGTGATGTCCACTATCTATACCTCACCTTCACCCTTCTGTCCTTCCAGCTCGTCATAGCTGCGTTAAAGTGCCATAAATATGATAAGAGCATCCAGGTGACGGGCAGCGCTGCTCTGTTCTACCTGACCAACACCGAGTACCGCAGTGACCAGAGTGTGCGGTTGCGCAGAGAGGTCATTCAGGTGCTCCTAAACGGAATGGAGCAGTACCAGGAGGTCACCGTAAGTCTACGCTGGGGCCTCAGACTAAAAACTCCCATGGTTTTTAATCAATCAATGTCAAAAGTTGAATAATTGTGACTTTAGACTAATGGTGCCCAACCAACGGAACACTTTATACCAGGACACAGAGGGAAAACCAAAACTATGACCGGATTCTCTCTCAATTACATGCAACACATTTCCCAAGTGTTTTTTTTGCTACTGTGTAAAGTGCGCCTGCTCATCAGCAGTGATAAATATTCACACACACTGATTTGGGGTGAAATCCAGGGGCTGCGGATTAAACCTACCTCTGGATTAGTGAAGACGGCTTTACAAGAACACTTTCTTGCTCATATTTGTATTTCTAATCAGGGAACGGCACAATGTTCAGCAGTGAGGATCTGTGTTAGAGTGACACTTTGAATCTCAAGCAAAGAAAGAAAAAGCTTTCAGTGACGCAGGTTACAAAATTAACTTTTAATGTCCCCTTTTTTGATCCGTTCATCCATCCCATTTTCTTTCTGTCTGAGAAAGTTCTCCCGCATGCCGCATCCAAAGTTTTCTGCTTAACTTCGGCTCCACTGGTTGTTTGCACGCTTTCACCGGCAGACAAAGAGCACATGCGTCGCCCAGAGATCTAAAATGAAAGTGTCTATTTAAAAGTGCAGTACCTTTCTCCATTTTCTGTGCGTGACGTGTTAAGCTACTACCAGTGCTAAAAAAAAATGCTGTTAACGCATGATGAAATCAATGTCGGAGTTAATGGATTGCTGCGTTTTATAACATTTAGAACACCGTAACATGCCTCATAACGTGCTGTAATTTTCACTTAAATTGCATCGTATAAGACAGTTTTCAGTTGTTGACCCTCCTGTGTGTCCCACGCCAGGTCCAGAGGAACTGCTGCTTGACTCTGTGTAACTTCAGCATTCCAGAGGAGCTGGAGTTCCAGTACAGTCGGGTCAACCAGCTGCTGCTGAAAATCCTGGAGCCGGGCCGGCAGGATGAGTCCATCCAGAGAATCGCTGTGCACCTCTGCAATGCTTTGGTCTGTCAGGTGGCCAACCATCAAAAGGAGGCGGTGGGGAAAATGGGCTTTGTCAAGGTAACAGCAAGTAGAGTTTAACAATTAGATATTCACTGGTACTTTTAAAATTCTACTTAATTTAGTTACAGTTTTAAATTCCCAGTGCAGAATTCCATGTTCTGTATTTGAGCCTTTCTTTGTTGCTATTCAGGAGCAGTGGGCAGCCACAGTCAAATATTTCTTTACGTCCTCACCCTGATATATCGCAGAGCTTCCCTACCGTGTGTGTGTGTGTGTGTGTGTGTGTGTGTGTACACAGAATAATCCATCAAAAGCAGCCTTGGTTCTGCTCTTGCAGCCATTTCATGCAATATAATATTTCATTGTTCAGTCAAATCTGTGCAAACTCACACTTGTCATGATACTAGGATTGATGTAATATAGGAAGCACAGGCGTAGTTACAGTTTCTCATTTCAGTATCCAAACGTTTGACTGGTACTGTACGTGCAGTATATGTTCATATTTTACCCTCTGATTAAGAAAAGAAACAGCCAATACTTGTCTCCATTGCATCACCGTCTCCGTACATTTGTAGTGTAGCAGCAGGTTTTTCCCCCTCTTCATTTTTAAATTTTTGGAGTGTTGTCCCTGTGCTGGTGTGGGGGTCTCGAGAGGATGCTGCATGTGTACAGCTTGTAAAGCCCTGATTTGCTATTTTTGGGCTATAGAAAATAAAATGAATTGAATTGAAAGCAGCTTGACAGCTCTCAGAAAAGTATTTGTTTCTTCCTCCTTCACAGAGAATGTTGAATTTAATTCAGAAGAAGTTACAGGACAGATTGGTAAGTTTCTCTTTAATTCCCTATCAATTAATCTTTGAACTTGAAATTGTATGGTTTTAGACTTTCAATAGACCATTATAACTATTGCTGCACTGCTGCTAAACTTGCTGCACTGCATCTGTTTGTCTACCTGTGGGATCCTTGCCTTCAAGTGTGTGTTTGTTTCACCTCAGTGTGACCAGGTGATGGAGTTTGCCTGGAGCGCTTTGTGGAACATCACTGATGAGACACCCGACAACTGTCAGATGTTCCTGAACTGTCGGGGCATGAGTCTTTTTCTGGAGTGTCTACAGGTGAGGCACCCGGCAGTCCACTAAACCTGCTCAGGCAGTCCACTAAACCTGCTCAGGCAGTCCACCAAGCTGGTTCAGGCAGTCTACTAAGCTGGTTGAGGCAGTCCACTAAACATGCTCAGGCAGTCTACTAAGCTGGTTCAGGCAGTCTACTAAGCTGGTTCAGGCAGTCTACTAAGCAGGTTCAGGCAGTCTACTAAGCAGGTTCAGGCAGTCCACTAAGCATGCTCAGGCTGTCCACTAAACATGCTCATGCGTTAGAAAGGAAGTATCCTGCTGACGGCAGTAGTCTTCTGTGTGATAACAGCTCTCCTCTCGTTGCATGATCTTACTCTAGGAGTTTCCAGACAAGCAGGAGCTTCACCGTAACATGTTGGGGCTGTTAGGAAATGTTGCAGAGGTGAGAGCGCTGAGGCCACAGCTGCTCACCCCCCAGTTCATCTCTGTGTTCAGGTAAGAGTGTGACTCTTGCTGGATCATTTTGTTTTTCTTAAAAATGTATATTTATACTAGGAAACAGCTTGTTCTGAAATCTAGTTGTTATGCCATTACAGACTAGGGGCATGAAGTGGAGCGTGAGGGCTGGGTTATTGAACTTAATGTATATGTGTGTGTGTGTGTGTGTGTGTGTGTGTGTGTGTGTGTGTGTGTTTTTTATATGACTATATATTTATATACTTTTTAGACTGTTCTTTTTACAGTCGGTGTCTCCAGGTACACGTTTAGCTGTGACTCATACTCCGTAGTCCAATAAACATCGCTGTAGTCTCCAGACTTCTAAACAGCGCTTGGATTTGTCAAAGTGCGTTGATACATCCTCACCAACACAACAGTGCGGTTGCCCTGACTGTAACACACCGTCACTGCTAAACAGATGAAAGCTTTGCTAAAAGAAATATCTCGTGTGTCTTTGCCTGCAGAATGAATAAATTACAAAGCAGTATATACTGATGCATAACGAGTTCACCTGCTACACGGAGAAAAGGACTTCTTCACATCATTGTGGCACTGACACACAACCCATTACTCAACTCAATGAACCAAACAGTTGAAACACAACTAAATATAGAGTTTGTAGTTCAAAGTAAATTCACGTCTGAGAGTTTTAATGTCTTCTGCCTACAAATGGTCAGATATGTGCTGTTTTGTGTTGGACAGTAACCTGCTGGACAGTAAGGCTGACGGGATCGAGGTGTCCTACAATGCATGTGGGGTGCTGTCACACATTATGTTTGATGGGCCGGAGGTTTGGTCCATGGAAGAGCCGCTAAGAGACACAGTGATGGACAAGATGTGGGACGCCATCCAGAGCTGGGACGTCACCTCACGGCGCAACATCAACTACAGGTGATGATCTGTTTAGTTATTATCATACCAGCTTCTCATGATGTATTATATAGTCACATGTCATAATGCTTTATTAAAGTAAATACGATAAAGTACCAAACTCCAGAAGAAATAGTTAAATGATATTTAGAGCAGCTGTGCTCTGACATGTAATGGTGCACTCTCACCAAACCAGACTCCAATGTTTTGCGTCAACATTTCGCCATCTTTTTTTCCTCCGCATCATCCGTGTAAGACACAGCAGCTAAATAGCATCTGTAGGTGCAGACAGCTCTGTGAATATTAATATATACACTGGATGACCGCCGCTTCCAGCCGTACATGGTGCTAGCCGTTAGCCCGTTTGATAGCTCGTTCGCTCTGCTGAGGGAACCGTCCCACGGACGACAGTCTGCTCAATCACAACCGAACAACTCTTTTAAGAGCCAGACACACGTCCTGTGATATTACTTAACATTTAGTAGCAGCTGTGTCGTTAAACAATACAATTACTCTACGTTATAATGTACAATATTCAATGCCGTGATTAGATGTTGTAAAAAAACAGCACTATATTGCAAATTCGCACCACTCGAGTCTCATCGCGTCTGTGCATAGACTTTGTATATAATCCTGTGGTGTGAATAATTTGCGTTGCGTTTGTTGTGAACACATTTTAATGTAACCGCTCACAAGTCATGACATGTTTCACTGAATGTGTTGAAAAGCTACTGAAAATGACTAATGTCATGACATCACATGTGTAAATGAGTAACAACACATCAGTAAATACTACACGGAAGCTGTTTTTTCTCCATCTTGAATGTTGACATTCCTGTTGGTCTGTCAGGTCATTCGAGCCGATCCTGCGGCTGCTGCCTCAGAGCATCGCTCCTGTCAGTCAGCACTGGGCCACATGGGCTCTCTTCAACCTGGTGTCAGTTTACCGTGAGTCTCCACTGTGCTCAGTGTTTACATCCTCAGAGGTGCTCTCACCTCATTTACAGCTAGTTGATAATACATATATTGTACAACAATACACTAAATCTATCTCTTTACATTTATTTTTGTTCCACAGCGAGCAAGTATTGTCCTCTTCTGATAAAGGAAGGAGGAGTAATTCTTCTAGAGAAAGTTCTGGAGCTGGACAGCTCAAAGCCAGAGACAAAGGACATGGCCAGGTGAGACTTCAGGCTGTGTTTGTATGCATCGTTTTCCGTGCTCTTTCTTTACTCTTCTTTTTATCAGCCAAGATCAATTGTGCAGCTGGAAGAACTAGTTTTCCTTGTTTTAACGTTTGTCCGTTGCACTTATTAAAGAGTGATACCAAGTCTTTAGCAGAATGAAGTTGTAAGTAGCCAAGCCTGGAATCTCTTCTTTTAAGGGGTAAGGGCACACGTGACTTCAGTAACACAAAGGAGTCTGGGGATGGTTGGATGTAACACCTGCCTGTCAGCGCGCACACACACACACAACTAACTGCTGCTTAGAAAAGATTTCATGGATTCATTACACATGGAGGTCCCTGACATTCCCTTCAGTGTGGACATATCGTGTTAGCTTCAAGTAGCTTCCCTACCTATGAAACCCTCAATTAGGCCGTAATCAGGGCTAGCAACAATATAAAACCCACAACAAACACTCTTTAACGGGGTAAAACAACACAACACAACACAACAGCTTGTGACACTGATAATCGTACCTTTCTAAAAATGACCCTGCCGAACTGCATGCTGGGTACAGCTCACAACAAGAAGCAACTCTGCTGCTACATGAAAACACGGGAAAGAGCGATACAGGAGGAACAAGGAGAGACCACAGATGCACCAACACAACTTGTGCCCAAGAGAGGAGCTCCGTCTGTTTGGAGGGTTTTTGGTTTTGGAAAATCCAACTTAAGTTACGTTAGATCAGAAAACCATTTATTGCAAAGTCCGTCGAGCCTCTGATGGCAACACTAGCACCCACAACAAGCTAACGCGCTAACAAGCTAACTTGCCGGCCGATTGCGAGCAGGTTGGGCAGCGGGCGGCAAACAGCTGTTTGGGTAGCGGCGGCCCTTTTCGGGGTCAATTAATTAATGTGTTTACTTGAAAAACAATACGGTCACATATCAACCATCAGAATCTTTCTAAATACCGTGATATGGATTTTTGGCCGTACCGCCCAGCCCTAGCCGTCAATAATGAGCTTTATCTACTATCACCAGAGACCGTTGTTCCCTGTTTTGTTTCTACTACAAGCGAGCCGAGATCAGTCAAACTGTGATATGGACCAAAAATCCAGATTAACCGCTGTCGTTGTTTGGTCGTAGCATTTGTACCAATTGTCCCCTTGTGGAATGCAGCATTTGACTGAAATCCCCTTTCACTACATAGAATGGACTGTTTAAGATGTGGACAGAACTTAATCCTCGACTTGTTCTACATTGAATGTTTTCAGCAAAGTGATGGAACAGTGTGAAAACTTCAAAAAAGACCCCATGGACACCAGCAATGGACAGGAGGTCAACCTTGGACAACGAGGTTGACATCATAGGAGCCATTACTCCCAGCAAACCGACCTAAGGCCCCGTGCACTGTCATCACCGCCACAATGGGCAATTGTGCGCACTATTCTTATCATTGTCATTATTTTTGTAGAGCAGAAATGTGTCTGCCGTTCAGACGCACAGTGTGTGTGCGAGTGTGAGTGACAGATGCCGTCAGAGGGCTCAGGTCTCATTCACTAAGCTGTTGACGCCGTGAATAACACCAGTGGTGACAGGAGGGAGTTTGTCCCTGACTGGCACCATCATTTGTTTTTGTTATATATGTAAATATTCTTCGTTTGTCTCTTCCTTTTACTGTGTGTATGTTTTATAATATAGCCAAACACTCATGACTTTACTCTATGTTTAGGTTTGAATGACACATGGTCAGTACTAAGAAACTATATCATTCATGTGTAGGCTGTCCGTCCTGGATTCTCTGGTCTCTAAAGGATTATTTAGATTTGGTTGCTACTTGCGTCTGTTTTTAATGATCTAGGATTTTAAGCTGATTATCGGTTGATAACTCAAAGCACCCACAGTGGCTCCACGTGATACGAGCAAAACTATGCAGGGTCCTTTGCACACGGCTAGGTTCATAAAGAGGAGCCTGAGCTCGTCCACTGGGATGGAGCGCATGCTGCAACCAGGAGAGCCCCCACTAAACTCACATATGGTAGCTGCACAAATGTAGTATTACACCTTTTTGGTGCCCAAGTCGGTGTTCACTACCAGCTGACCCGACCGAATGAATCTGGTAATATTGGGTGACTGCGTTGTCCTCACGGTAACACTTTGCTGTTTATTCCAGTAATGTTGAATCAGACTTGATGAAGTAGATTTATAAATGGTAAGGACATAGAACAGTAAAGTTTAACGCTTATTGCATCTTGTGAAGGAAGCAGTTCTTCTGAACTACGCACCTTTTACTGGTTGCTGGACATCTAGACGTTCAATAAATGAAATCACGAATGCGTACAGTTAGGCTGGTGTCTGTTTGAGCGCCTCTTCTGCTAAATGTTAAAGAGCCAACACTACCCCCACTTCACTGGGACGGCGTCTTTATACTTCCATAAAGCCTGACGTTGTTCACGAAGTTTGCTGTTGTGACCTCCAAGACGTTTTTTGAGTTTTCTTGCAAACTGTTTCTCACCAAAACCAACAACTAGTGGTTCAAACTCCTCAGTCTGCCTTTAACTAACTGGTTGATTCAATGGCATTTCTCACAAATGGCTCTGAGATCCTTTACAGGACTTAAGAATGAGGACATTCTTCTGCAAAGGGCATTCGCATTAAATATCCAACTTAGCTGTCAAAAGGCAGCGTCTTGAATTTCTACATTTTTATCTAAGAGACTGGATTACCTGTCGTCTATAACAATGTTCAGTGAGGCATGGCTGATACACTGTAATGTGTGTTGTATCAAGAACAAATCGTGCATTGTATTTTATTCTAGAAGTACGACACACGAGCGTGTTCCATGCAATGTGGGATATATTATTGTGTCCAACCACCAGTCCACATCCCAAAGATTTAAACAAATGAAACTGAGTAGATAAGCACCAATTCTTTATCACTTCTATTAAAAGAGAAGTGATTTTGTCCTGCATGTCATTTATCAAAGGAGTTCTTGAGTTCAGTGTGTTTGCACCTTTTGTCTACCGAGTGCCGATGCTGATCTCGGATTGTCAGGACTGTAACGTTGCTGTAAGAGCACATTAAGCTCCATCGGATCTCCTAATCCCACGGCGTTGGTTTAGATGGGCCGGGTCCGGGCCGCTGCACCCAGGCTCCCCAGTGCGTTGCTCCAGCTGGTTCCCAGTACCAGCCCCTGTGCTGTGATGGTTGCTGAGTTATTTCACTTGTGTTGGTTGTATCCACTGACTTCATTTCCCTGATTCTCATGTACAGTTTTTCTTTGTGTGATTTTTGGAGTCAAACTGGTACAGCTCTATTTCTATTGCTAAGTAGTGGTGTGAGATGAACATCTTTCTTTTTGGATTTCAAATGTGTTGACATGAAGAGGATTTACAATTCAACAAAATATAGTGAGTTTGTAGTTTATAAATCACCAGTGTTTGTTTAATTACCATAATAGAAGTGTGAACTTCTCTGTAGGGAAGCTAGATGACCATTTGGAAATTGTAATCCTCCATCACACCTTTCTAAGTTCTTCAATTTCTCCGTTTTGGCTTTACAGGAAGAAATATGTATCCGAGTCTAGAGCTGAAAATGTAACCCCATGGATTTCAGTGATGACAAGAAGCTACTGTAGAGGGATGATTGTCATTTATGAAGACGTGTCTAAATTAAGAAACCTAGTTGAAGTGAAAAACTGCTGCGTTTCAGATTTCATCTACTTAATTCCTGTTTCTGAAGGTCGTCGACACTCGTTACTGATTTGTTTTGTGACTGTTGTGTAATCCAAAATCGAGTGTTGAGTATTTGATCAAACATGAGAGGGGATTCCAGCTTTTCCTGCTCTGAATTGCACCAGGCCATTAGTGAATCTATATGAATAAGCAATAAAGGTGGAGTGGTAAAGAATGAAATTCAGCTTTGTTCTTCTACTTCGATTACAACTTATCAAATTGTAATAAGCCTGGACCTCCAGTATATAGAAGACTGAGCTATGTAACTTATATCGGCTTCTGTGAGGACAACTGCATGTCATCATGCACCAGGGTGAGTGTATATGGAAGCACCAAAAAATGATCGTGCTCATTTTCATATATTGTGCAATAAGTGAATATAATGATCATCGCGACAGAGCTAATGCCATGTAGCAGCCTGCTTCAAGGCCTCCACCATCATCCCACGAAGCCCTGACCTCTGTGGTCATGGAGTCTGGCTGGTCCAGTCCCACCTAAAAACCCTCAGCGACCCATTCCTAGTTCCCCTACTGAGCCAAAAGGGTCTATAGACGATGCTGTCAACACGGCCCTCCACTTCCATCCTCCAGCAGCTGGACTCCCCAGGAACCTACGCCAGGTTCTAGTTTGTGGACTTCAGCTCTGCGTTTAACACCATCATCCCATCTCTCAGGGCGGCGCGGTGGTGTGGTGGTCAGCACTGTCGCCTCACAGCAAGAAGGTCCTGGTTCGGTTCTCTCTGGGTACTCTAGCTTCCTCCCGCAGTCCAAAGACACTCTGGCCTGACGATATTGTATCTGGTGGGAGACTGACGAATGACAAGGTTGTTTTGCAGTCAAAACTACTTAGAGCTCAATGCTTGGAAGAAAGTGCTCCTCCATCACCGCCGGTACGCTGCATCCACCAGGAAGCTGCAGCGTGTCATTCTCTCTGCAGAGACGGTGATCGGCTGCAACCTGACGTCTCTCCAGGACTTGTTTGCTTCCAGGACCCTGAAGCGAGCCGACCCCTCTCACCCCGGACAAATTTGTTTGTGCCACATGTTGGGAGCGGCTAGGGAGTCGTATTAGGTTACCAGCAAATGAGGAACTAACTTATGGACATTAATACAATTATTAATAATCACTAAGATACTTAAATAAAATAAACTAAACTAAATAACGGCACCACCCTGAGCAAACAGGGACCAATAACCAATACTATAAATCAAGTCTCATAATTGATATTCACTCCTTGAGAGCGAAGATGTTGGAAGGATTTAAGTTCGAGCACTGGCAATGTGTCAACTGTCACCACCATATGAATGCACAAGTAAACACAGGAAAACGGTTCTTTAAAGTATCACAGGGTTTATTAACTCACAGAAACACCGATCAAGATCACTTATAACTGCAAACAACAATCTCTATAACACTTATTTTTCACAATAAGCGGAGTGCCGGTTGTGACACCAGGGGGCGAGCGAGAGCAGCGGGGCGGAAGCGAGACGGTTAAATCAAACCACCGAGAGAGACAAAGTTACAATTACTATGGCAACGCTATCTGTTGCTATAGCTACGTCTTAGAAAGGGGGGGGATACTTATGGCGCGTTTCCACCGAGCGGTACGGCACGGTACGGTACGGGTCGGTACCCTTTTATTTGTGTCTCCACTGCCAAAAGTTGAGAAAGGTACCAAAAATCCGAACCGTACCACTTTTTGGGAACCCTTCCGTTGAGGTACCTGGCACAGTTGTTTGGTACTAAAGGGCGGAGCTAGACTCACTGCAGAGCGTTGATTGGTTGAAAGAGTCGACGGACGCGTGTTGATTCTGACCCGCGACCAGCGGAACGTGGATCAGCAACGTGAATCAGGATGGTCGGACCGACGTGTGCGCAGAAACAAACGACGTGGCTCGCGATGCGAAATGAAACCACAGGCAAACGGATCTCGCGACGAAACGAAACGAAAATAAGAAAACAGCGTAATACAGTTGGCGCTTTCAGTCCCTTGCAGAAAATCACAGTCTCACATCAACAGGACATATTACGACACTTGCAGGTACACATTCAAACATAAATCAAGGGTAGCGGATTCGTTGATCCGGACTATATCGTACCACGTTATGACTGAACAAATCAAATAAACATCAGGTGTATATCAACACCCTAAATTAGTCTGCCCAGAAAGCCTGTCTCTTACTGTTTGATGGGCTCGATCGACGTAGCGGACGTCCGAACTTCTCGCTGGGAACAGCGGCGGCGCGGCGGGTCAGAGAGCGGCTGCTCTCCGGTCCTCCGGGTCAAACGGAGATACAATTAAGAAAAGAAAAAAGAAAGCGAGTCGAGTTCGTCCAGCGGGATTAAGACTGACACTTGGGAATTGGAGAAAAGAAAAGAAAACAACGTTGTGGTGTCTCGATCTATCACTAACGGGGAGGTCGGGCGAAAGAGATCGATTCTTTGGCGCAATCTCTTTTATAAAGTTGAGGTCCATACGTCCATGTCACTGTCCTTGGCCAATGGGAGCTCCGTGTCTCGGTGTTCTTTTGGACGTCCTCTGTTTATGGCCAGGTGGGGTCTGCAGAGCCGCAGGGCTCCTGTTATCAGCCCCTGGCATCAGGCCACGGGGGACCATATATATGTGTGTGTGTGTTTTTCCTTTGTTTTCAATCTAGAGAGTTTAGACTCTAAACTCTTGTGAAGATTGAAAGGCTTTCGTAGTTAACGATACTTTCCGAGAGTCGGATGCAGATACGCGAGCCGCCGTCAACGTGAACGTTTGCTAGCGCGTTAGACGCCAACGTCACGTGACTTAACCTGTGGCGCATTCGGTCCACACGTCTCCAAAGCTGGATGGAAAAACTGGTGGCCCATAGAATGTTATGACGTCACACAAAGATGAAAGGGAACGCGTCATGGCCTACGTCAGAGAGCTCTTAATGCTCCAGAATGCATCTTGAGTGATACGCGTTCGGAGAAGCAAGAGAGCGGACGTGTGTGGAGACTTCCAAGCGACATGGCAGAATCACGGGGCGGTGGAAGGACGCTTCCACGGGAGGTAACTGAGACGTTTGTTGTCCCAAAAGAAAAGCGGATATCTCAAACCGAAGCCCGTTACACCCAAAGGAAACTCAATGAAGCAAAGAAAACGATATTACAACTTAGAATCAAGTCGGAGGAACAAAGTAAATTGATCGTTATGAGCCAGAGGAAGATGGATTATCTGCATTCGGAAATATCTTCACTCAGAGAGAATGAAGACGTTTCAAAAGAACATCTAAAAGAAGCAGAGAGGAAACTTGCAGATAAATCGAATATGAATGATGATCTTCATCGACAGAACGCTAAAATTGAAGAGCTCTCTAGAATTAACGCTGCCCATAAGCAGAGTGAAGAGGAAGCTCACCAAAGAAATCATGAGAATTTGGCCCAACTTAAAGACTTGAATGAGAAACTAGACAGAACGACCAAATATCATTCAGATTTTGTTCTGCAATCCGAGAAAAGAGAGGACGCTTTGATCAATGAAAATAAGGTTCTTGGTGATAAACTGGCCTGCGTGACATCTGAGAAAGATCTAAATCAGGCAAAGATTTCTAATCTGGAAGCAGTTGTTGAAGCGCTAGCTGAGGAAATCCGAACTATGAAGAACCAGAGCCTGATCGCTGAGAGGGAACACACCAAAGTCACTGAGCATCTTTCTACAACAAACAATGAAGCAACGGGTACGATATCACAACTTAAAATCAAGTTGGAGGAACAAAGTAAATTGTTTGTTGTGAGCCAGAGGGAAATTGATCGTCTGCAATCGGAAATATCTTCACTCAGGGAGAATGAAGACATTTCAAAAGAACATCTAAAAGAAGCAGAGAGGAAACTTGCAGAGAAATCGAAAATGAATGATGACCTTCATCGACAGAACGCTAAAATTGAAACAGACTTTGAAGAGCTCTCTAGAATTAGCGCTGCCCATAAGCAGAGTGAAGAGGAAGCTCACCAAAGAAATGACGAGAATTTGACCCAACTTAAAGACTTGAATGAGAAACTAGACAGAACGATCAAATATCATTCGGCTTTTGCTCTGCAATCCGAGAAAAGAGAGGACGCTTTGATCAATGACAATAAGGTTCTTGGTGATAAACTGGCCTGCGTGACATCTGAGAAAGATCGAAATCAGGCAAAGATTTCTAATCTGGAGGCAAATGTTAACGCGCTGGTTGAGGAAAACCGAACTATGAAGAACCAGAGCCTGATCGCTGAGAGGGAACACACCAAAGTCACTGAGCATCTTGATGACCTTCAGAGTCAAGTTGAAACATGTTACAGAACAATCTCGGAGAAAAATGAGCAAATGCAACTACTTAAACAGACCAATGACCAATATCTGTCAGAGATCCAACAATTCAGAACGGAGGAGACACCCATGGATGAGACGGAGGAGACACCGGTTCAGGCCAGAAGTTGGTCTGGCCTTGCTAAAGGTCTGGTGAACGTAGGATGTTATGCTGCCATCAGCATCGCCACGGCAGTGCTTACTAACAGCTGGAGTTCAGACTTGAATTGCAGCCAGTCAAACCGTTTCAATGATTTCCAATACACCGCACCTCGTCCCTTCTAATCAGGTACAAAGACTTACACCAAATATGACTATATTTGAATATGGCTTTTAGTTGTATTCAAAAGACACATCCAATCAACCGCAACTCAACAGATGAACAGAATAAGACATCCCCTTCTAGCGAGGGGTAAATATTCATCTTCATGATCAAACCAATGTAGGTTTTTGCATGTATGTGTGGTTTAGGCCCGGCTAACCCGCATGCCGTTGTGTCCTTGGGCAAGACACTTAACCCAACATTGCTCCTGTAGCTGCGACTACAGTGTGTGAATGGTAGTTACTGATGGCAGGTGTCACTGTGTGTGGTTCTCCTGTCATCAGTGTATGAATGGGTGTGAATGGGTGAATGATGTCATGTAGTGTTAAAGCGCTTTGAGTGGTCAGAAGACTAGAAAAGCGCTATACAAGTACAGGCCATTTACCATTTACCATTGTTTGCCTCCGTATGTCTGTATGTGAGTGTGAATGATGACCTGACAATGTGAACTGTGATGGTTCATGTTAAGTGTGAGGTAAAGAGAATGCATTTATATTTGTATATATAATTGTATGTATGTACGTTTGAATGTGAGTGTGAATGGTGACATATCGCCTAGTGTGAACTGTGATAGTTTATCATCAAACCTTTGTAGGTTTTTGCATGTACCGGTGTTATGGTCTGGCTCAAAGGCCACAACAAATAGAGGAAACCACGCTCCAGGGATTACCAGCCAAAGATCTTTATTCACCAAAGTAACTGGTTAAACAAACAAAACACAGCAAAGGAAACACGCCATTGTGCTGGGGAACAGGAGAAAACCAGCAGTCACCCTCAAACACTCAGGAAGGGGCAGGTTTTAATGCACTCAAGAGACAGTGGCCAGCTGGGTCTGATCTGCCTGATGGCCTCAGCTCCACTCCACCAGGAAGTTCACCCTGTAACACCCACAGACAGGGACACAGCCACAAATACCCTGGCAGTGGCCCTTGGGCCGCCACACCGGTATATTAGTATTTTATAGAATACATTTTACACACGTATCTTGTTTAACTGCTGTCGCCGGATCTCTCCTACTTAACAGGCAGAATACAAACACTGATTAATTTCAACAGGCCAATTGCCTCCCCCGGCACCGTTCCCTGAACAGTGGTTCCTTTCTCCGTCCCCCCTGCAGCCGAGCCAAACCACGCCCGCCACCACATGGTTCTTCTTGGAAAAAGAAAAATCCCTGTCAAAGCCTCGTGGAGACAAGCGTGGAACATATTGGCAGATACCTGCCGTTATATTAGCGGGTGGACTTGGCTGCTTTGTGCTGGTGTCCACCAACGCACAAGTCTGATTACTTATTATGACTAATAAGAAAGCGACCTCGTACCTCTCTGGGTTTTTGATCTCCTCTGTGATGAAGTTTGTTAGGGTTTCGGAAGCTCTCGAGGGAGGCCTCAATCCTTGTTCTCGTCCCGGCCGGAAACGAGGACACGAATGAGTCAATTTGTTTAAATTCAAAAATCAAAAGTTATTTAATAACTGAACAACTTAATAGGGATTACAATTACAAAGTGAAATACTAAGCGAACAGTGGAATATTTCGCGAAATAGAGAATCCTCTGAGCAAGTCTGAAGTGACTTATCAACGCGGCTGCAGGAGAAATTCTAACAGTCTTTCCCCGCCATGGTCCTTTGAAAACTCTTGAGGTGTGTCTTCCTTGGTGCATTTGAATGTCATTGGCTTCTTCTCCAAAGGGTCACCTCCTGGACTGTCCCCTTCACGTCGAGGTGTGAAGCTGCAGCTGTAACCTGAAACCTCTCTGTCCTATCCGTCCCTCACATTCCAATGCACTCAATGTAGATACATTCGGCTTTATGCCTCAATGAGTGAATCTAACAAAGCATACATCGTTTAAGTCTTCATCTTATAACTAGTACACTTTCATTACAACAACCCATCATTAATGATCACCGTTCATCACACTTCATCATAAGATCTAAGACAGTTCGTGTGGTTCAATTCTCAAGACATTTGCCTCAGTCGGCTGCCTTACATTAAGTTGTTCATTTATTACCTGACAGGAGAAAAAACTCCCAAAAAACCCTCTTTGGGGATAAAATTGGGAGAAATCCATAAAGAACGGCAATTGGCATCCGTCCCCAGGTTTTAACATCACATTGTGACAGAATGTTAATGTGTACAGTGTTTATATGATTTAAATGACTATGAATTGTGTTTGATTGAAATTGCATTCACTTCATCTAACATGTTAATGTAATAACTAATATCTAACATCACACAAACTATAATTCTAACACTAAACATTATTACACGTACTATAATTTCCTGACTAGGGGTGCACTTCTGGCTTAAATCCCTAACAAGTTCAGCGTGTCCCAGCCCGAGTAGGAGTACAGCGCTGAGTAGAGGGCCAGGGCCATGTCACCAGGGTTCAGTTTGGGGCATTTGAACGAGCCCTCGAAGTTCTGGTCAAAACCTACATCGACACAGGGTTGTTTGACTCGTCCAGGACATAAAGAAGTATCATTTAAGGCTAAATCATTCCTGAATATTTAACGTCTAATGTCTTACATTTTAGTTATTGTAATCTTCAGATAACTTCCCTGCACATTTGTCCTTCTTGCTCAGTTTTGTTTTCCTACCTTGTGCGAGCTTCACCAGCCCAGTAATGACGATGACGATGAGAGGAAGGACCTTCGCTACAGTGGAGATGACCTGAAGATTGGCCCCCCATTTCACTTTCATACAGTTCACAAAGGTCAGCAGACCTGGTGAGAGAAGAGGGGGGACGAAAGCAGTTTACAAATAGCAAAAAACACTACTGACCTGAGACCTAAAAGTTGCGGCACAACAAATTCATTCCAGCATCTCAGGCAGACGCATGCAGCCAAGCGGGGGCCAAGCGTGAGCCACGTGCTGCACGGCGAGTCACACGGCTGCAGCCGTTAAACACCTGCTCGTGAAGCGGTTACGTCAGCAGAATTATTTTCTCAAATGATCCCGTCTGAGCTCGCTGGCTCCCTTTGAGCTAAAACCGCAACGGAGAGAGTTGTGTGCTTTATGCGGTGTCTGTGTTGCAGCATTTGTTTTAAGATGCGTGTGTGTGTGTACGGAAACACACCAAACGTGCAAATACACAATCGTGGTCTTTTTTAGGCTTTGTGAAAAAAAAATCTTTAAAACCTTAAATTGGATGTGACTTCATTCTTGGCCCTGCACATAACAAATATTTAGGGTTTCTATTCACTAAACCAGCCTGGTACATTTAAGGCTGAGTTAAAAGGAAACCAAGTATTAAGTGTATTTACACACATATCCCTCTAATTGAAAAGAAAACAAAGACCAAGTGAGGAGGCTGTAATATAATGTGGCATCTATTTAAATGCAGCATGCATGATTCAACATGTACTGGTAGCGCTGCTTAGAACTACCTTACAGCTGCTGCGAAATCTCCTAAACTCAACAGTTTGCAATTGACTTAACGAGATTCACAAAACATTTACTGCAAACACAAGCGTGCACAACCGCAGGCAGTATTAAAAACGTACAACCGATCAAGCAGAGCATGCAAGTGTGCTTAGTACAGGGAGAGACTTACATATGATGACGGCGGCGGTGAGACGGACAGCAGCATAAGGGGCTGTGCAGGTGGAGTAGAAGGGCTGGACCAGGTGGAGAAGGTCAGAGCGATCGCTGCCTGACAAGCCGGCTCAACGATCAACAAGGACGTCCACAGTCTACGGGATTAAGAAGTCTTCATCGTAAAAGGCAAACATGCAGCATATATATTTTGTTTAACTGCATTAAGAGAACAATAATTAATCAAATACATTGTCTGCATCTCTACTATTAGGAACATGGCTTTCTCAGTTCAAAATGGAGAGCAGGGCATGCAGGAAAAAGAATGACCATGCAATATGTGGACCGTCTCCAACAAACTCATGAGATGACTCATGTGGAGTATTGTTGAGTAGCGTCACAGTGAAGACGTATTGTAGCACTCATTTACAGGGATTTACACAAATTAAGAATATATATGCAACCTATTGTTGTCATACAATGCAGGTTACAAAAAGACAACTGTGCGTGAAGGGAATGCATGAAAAATAACCATGTGTGTTAAAAATGAGTGTCTGCGGGGGTAAAGACTCTACCTCGACTAAAAGACTATTGTAGCACTTAAATTGTACTCGTAACGCCACCCATCTATAGCAAATTGTAAATTGGCTTATTTGAGGAAATTTCACTTTCTTGTTTCTTGTTCTCTTCTTGTTCTGAGTTTGTACCCCTATGGTTGAAAGCACTTATTGTGAGTCGCAAAGCGTCAGCTAAATGACATGTGATGCAATGTAATATGCTGCCACCTAGTGATTGGTTTTTTTAATGATCCCACCCACTTATTTCGCAGGTTATGATTGACCATCAGTATTCCCTGCGTTACATAGAGCGAATCACTGTATGCTTTTGACCTTTTGACTGTCGGCCTTCATCATCAGAGGATGCATTATGCTGTATGTATTATTTAATGTGAAATATGAAAACTGCAACTCTCCTTCACCCGGGCCCTCCTAGTAATAACATGCATGTTTAGGCTAATAATGCTCTTCAACCCTGAAACAAAGAGGGAAACACCCACCCTGCAGAGGACCTGAGCGCTGCATTAGGGGACTTAGGGCTTGTCAGGCCAGCGTTTACGCACCTCTAAGTGGCGTTTACGTACCTCAAAGTTCCCTGCGCCTTGTATTCTTTCGTTTGAATAATCCGAAATAAACTTGGTGTAATTTTAAAACAGCTAAGACTACGTTTGCTATTGTTGAACATATAAACGCCGTAGTCTGAATCATGTTCATCTGCGCTGTATTACGGTCTGTGAGCATCCAATCAGCGCCTTGCGGCTGCCGCAGCAACCAATCAGGATCCAGAAGGTGTGTAAACATACACGTTGTGGATCAGCCCAGTGGTCCCCGACCTTTCTTACCTCACGGACCGGTTTCATGTCAGACAATATTTTGCGGACCAGTCGAGAAGGTCCGACGGGGGGGGAGTAGTCGCGCGCTCTGTGTTCGCTGGTCGGTAAAAGGACAAGAAAAACGCCTGGTGACGCGTAGATTAGAAAACAAGTCAGTTCTCAATGTGAAAACAAAACCTGCTGTATAGGCTATTTATGATGACGTAGGTAGTACATGAGTGTTCCTTTAACTCATGTTGTCAGTGTAATTGACAGACTGCTTAACTGGTTAACTCTTAAATTCAACATATTTGTTCAGGCAGTGAGAGGACAGGCAATGATGCAGAGAGCACAGGGAGAGGAGAAACACCAGGTCCAATAGAGAGAGAAGCACAGAGGAGCCATGAACCCCAGAACGCGTGTTCTGGGGTTCATGGCTCCTCTGTGCAAGGCAGGACCTGACGTGGAGGACAAGGAGGCCCTCTGGGCACTACTGTAAAAAGGAGAGTCCGTATGTACATAGTTCTTAATCTGCAATTGTCTTGTTGTGTTGTGTTGACATACTTTTCTTCACTGTCTTCTTAGATTTAATAAACTACAAACTACTAACACATGTATTCATTGTCATTGATTTTATATGACTTTTACTGATAACATAATGCAATATAGCCAGGACAGCCTTACAGAGTCGCGACGCCTTGTGTGGCGTTGCTTCGCATCGTGTCGAGGTCTGTATGATCACAAAATTCAGTTTACCCACCTCTAATTTTACCACTACAGCACTGGTCCTCAGTGAAGAAAAAACGTGGTGAAGTTTATTAGCAAGGTGGAGGGCCCAACACACACAAACAGTTTCTTCCCGCCCGGGTCCCCTACCGACTGACTGATGTCCCTTTTCCCACCTGTCACTCCCCTTCATACTCCATATTTAAATATTCTTAATCACTTTCACATAACCATACTCTACACAAGTGTTCTGTTGACGGGTCGGCGGTGGTGCAGGGGTAGGGAGGGTTCGAGCCCCGGCTGCTCCATGTCCCATGTCGAGGTTTCCCTGAGCAAGACAACCCCTAATTGCTCTTTAGGCGAAAACTTAAATGCCATGGGTTAAAAATGCAACGTATGTTGATTTGGATAAAATCGTCAGCTGAATGTAATGCAATGTCACGGTGTGGGTTATTTCCTGTCTTATTTTGTAGTTTCTGCTTCATGTCTCCCTGGGTAACTTAACTTCCTGCCTTGTCCTGTCATCCCCTGTGATTGTCTGATGGTTTCCACCTGTGTCCAATCACCTGCACCTCCCTAGTGTATTTAAGCGGTGTGTGTCTCTTGTCGCGTCATTGTTGAATGTCCTGGATGTCTCTGGTTCCTGCCTGCCTTTTCCCCTGTTCTTGTGTGTGTTTTTGCCCCTTGGCCTTTTGTTTTCTGCATTTTGACTATTAAAGTCTTTTTTTTTTTGCTTTAAATGTCTGCATTTGAGTCCTGCCTTCCTGACAATGTAGTGTGAATCTCTTTGTCCATGTGCACTTTATTTTAATTCTTATTTTATTTTTTCTTTCTTTTCTTCTATTTTATATTTGATTATGAATTGGATATGTTATATTTCCTCCACTGTGTTTATTTGTCTTGTTGTCCAATGTCTTATTGTCTTATTGTCCAGTGCTATCACCCGCCATGTCAAACTCCTTGTATGTCGAACATATTTTGGCAATAAATGTTACTGATTTGCAGTCAGCAGTTATCTGTTTGCAGATGGATGGATGGATGGAAGAGCTGCCCAAGATGGTGTAAACGCAAACATTCAGCACTCATCTTTTTTTATTTACAAACGTAGGATTGGGGGGAGCTGCGCTCTTGTGATTGGTTGAAAATGAGGGCGACTGTGTGATTGGCTACAGAGGTTCATGTTGAAAAAGACGCATTTGTAGATCTACTCACGTCAGACGAGTCTCAAAAAACCCTACAATATAAATATGACTCGTACTGTATTTATGTGTGCGTTGAAATATATTTGTGAATCTTTCTGTGTGCATTTGTAAATCAAATATATTTGTAAATCTTTCTGTGTGCATTTGCATTTGTTGAGACTGATCTGACCCCATAGAGGGCTGATTTCATTTCAGGCAGTTTACAAAAAAATAATAATTTTGATTTTATTGACTTCACCAGTGACATATAAACGTATGTTTATTGTTGTTATTGTTATACACATGTTATTGTTTATTTATGTGTACACATCAGAACACTCACAGGGGTTCCCCTTCATCCCCACAGAGCAGAAATGTCCACATACACAAAACAAGTATTTTCCTTTTCTTTTCCGATGGATATTCTATTTCTGGAGTCGAGGCCATAAAAACTGCCTCAGGGTGCAACAGGTTTGTTCAATAAAACTGAATGCTGTATTGTAAGAGGTGCAGTCAGAGATGTCTCATCGTGCATCAGTCATTGTCTGGAATTATTGAGACACATTTTACAGCACTTCAAGTATTTAGAAATGACGTTTAGCGCATTTACATTGTAAAATATCTTGATTGGTACAGTTAAGATCTTTTTGTACGGCTGTGGTCAGAAATGTCCTGTACACGTCAGTCAGATTTTATTCATTAAATGATGGCTCCAGTAATCCTCAAATCAAAGACTATATACAGTTCACAAGTTAAAAGTTATTTTAACTCAAGAGACGCAGGTAACGTTTACACGTAAGGTAAGTCATCTCAGTTACGTTGTTTTGGACTAAACGAATGACATTGTCTCACTTTGCTCTAACTAGACAGCTGGTTCTGGTTTTATCCGCTCGGGTTCTGAGGTGAGTAGAACAAGGGGGCGGGGAGTCGTGACACCGCCCGGCGCTGTGGTCTCTTTAAGGGCGGAGGGAGGACTTCCGGTGGTCCGTGAAGCGGATTACGGCTTCAGTCCTGCTGCTTCGCCGTCTCAGCTGACCCGGAGGATCCCCGCAGGCAGAGCCGCAGCAGCACCGCCGCCGCCATGGATTTCAACGTGAAGAAACTGGCCTGTGGCGCAGGCGTCTTCTTCACCCGCGCCGTGCAGGTACGCGGCGCGCGCAGCATCCCGCGGGGACACGCGGGCCGATTCCCCGCCGCGTCCCCGCGGATGAGCGGTGTCCGCGTGACGCCTTCTGCGCAACACAGAGCGCTTGTTTGAAATCCCGACGCCAGCGTTTAGCTTCGTGCGTGCTCGCGTTAGGGGGGAGGGGGGGGAGTAAGCCGATAACCGTTCGTCCCGCCTCCATCCATTATTGATCCGCTATTGATGCATTATTGATCGTGTGTCACGTGACAGCGGCGGGCTGTCTGCGGCGGACAGAGACGAGGAGCGAGAGACGCGTTTGTGTCGTACGTGGAGGATCAGAGCACAGCTGGTAGAACCAAGCCGACCCGCAGGCGGTTCGCGGGTTCCAACACCACCGATCCGGGGGACAGAACTTATCCGTGCGCACCGTTAAGCCCCCCGAGGCAGATTTAAGTCACCGACACACCGATGCTCGAGTCATCCGGTAGTGTGTCTGTGGATCTGTCTGTCAAGGGACCGCTGAGCTGTGGGAAACATCCCCATCACTGCTTAGTCTATCTGATAGCTTTTAATTTTATATATATATATATGTATAATACTATTGTGGATGTTTTAATGCCTCTGTAAGCTCTGCAAACTATATTTTAGGATTTATGTTAGAAAAATCAAGCAGGAGTCTTTATTTAATTCGAATTTAGAATTTAAACACACGCTAATTATGCGTCAAGGTTAAAAATATTTACTCTTCTTCTTACTCTCTTTGTGTGGGTATTTCTTTTTTAATTTCTTTGAAATTAGTTCTTCAAAGACATTCTATGTTTAGAAAAGCAGAATCTTGACGTCTGAGGTTACACACATACGAGTACAATGAAGCCATTTCCCCCCATAGATACTGTGAGATGCATGTAGTGGTAAACAATACCCACTCTGCATGTGATGTGCTGTAACATCAGACAAGTTAAAGCCCACAGATCGTATGTGTATATATTGTATTCGCTGTCAAGTGAAGATTCTTTTCCTCCCAGTTCACGGAGGAGAAACTGGGCCAAGCTGAGAAGACGGAGCTGGATCCCCACCTGGAGAACCTGATCACCCGGGCAGACAGCACCAAGAACTGGACGGAAAAAATCTTAAGACAAACCGAGGTGCTCCTGCAGCCCAACCCAAGTAAGAGAAACACTTGGTACTCACAAATGAAGCTGTATGACAACTGTGTCTGGCTCATCAATCAAATGTAGCCTGGGCTACAATCATTCCCCCAAACACAACAACAACAACTAAGATTACCAAAGTATCAAATGCGTATTTTGCCAAGACTGATCACACACTGCACATTTTCTGATCTAGCGATCGAAGCTACACGCTAACAAGGAGAGCGAGACGACTGAAGTCAAACCGATTAGACACCGATTGCACAAATATCCGTGACTTGTCTCGGTCCCACTCGAGGTTTGACCAAACAAATCACGTTACCGCTTTACAATCAGAAATAATCCTCAACGTGCGGTTTTTCAAAGGGGAAGAAGGCATATTTTCCAGCATTTTCCAGGTAATAAATAATCACTGGACCTGCTGTGAAATCATTCGTATCTGCTTGAGGGTAATTTTCAGGTTCAACTGATGCACCTCGTTGATTCTGATCAGCTGACAGCGCTGTCATTAAATAATGTCTGATTTCAATCTTTAATCCTTGATGTTTTTACACTTTATTATTACAGTCTGAACACACATGTGCCGTCCTCTTTCTTTACCTTTTTTCACTCTGGTTATCTCGTTTTTTAACGTCCCATTGCAATGACTTGTGGGTAATTTCCTTGTGCTAAGTCAGCATCCAAGGTAAGGTGAACGAACGAATCATTCTTCCAATCTTTTTTTTGGAGAGGACTCGTTACACTCGAGTCCGTGTGAGGATTCGTTAAAAATGAACGAATCGTTCACGAACGACACATCACTAAATCTCTGCATGTTGGTCCAATGGAACCATTGGAGAACTAATAACAGCCCAACAACAACAACAGGTATATTTTGATAGCGTTTGATTCATTGATGTCAGGATCTAATGATAATTCTCTAATGAAAATGAGCTCTTTTACTATGATGTTTAGAGATACTCCTACATTACTCAGTAATTCACTTAAAATGGCTAGAATGGACCTTGGTATTCATGTCTAACCCTTGTTCTGTGTATTTTCTAATCCTCCATGCTCCAGTTGACCACACTGGTAAGTCCTTTCTGTTTAAGGAAGCACTGATTAAGTCATGTTACATGAGTACAGGTGACGTTTGACTATTACTGAACCATACCAGAGAAAGTCTGCTGTACAGTGAATGTATTGGTTAAACTACCTTAAATGAACGCTCCTACATATTTTTCGACGCGTACCTGGTCTCTCATGTGGTCGACCAGTTGGGCGGACCTGAAGATCCTCCAGTGGGAGGCGTCCGAGAGTCACCATAGTTGGATGCCGAACCATCTCGGCAGACTCCTTTTCGACACTCCCAAGTTCCTTCCTGATGTCCAAGCTCTTCATCCTATTGCTAAGACCGGCCACCATACGGGGGGAAACTCATTTTATTCCCCGAATTACATTCATTCCGTTGCTTGCGGCAGGCAGTCCGTCCCCGTCGGGGGTAGAAATCCACTGGTTTCTGTCCCCAGACCCCATAATACTGAAGCACCCTACACAAAGATCGGGGGGATCCGGTCAAAAGCCTTGTACAGGTCAACAAAGCACTTGTAGGCTTGATGGGCAAACTCCCAGGACCCCTCTTATAGAAGAGCTGGTTCCACGACCGGGATGTAATCTGTACTGCCTCGGGAAACCCCACCGTCGGACGGATGCACTGAACAACACAGGATCCCTGAGCCACTCCTCCACTCCTAAAGGAGAACATGAAATTGAATTACATTGAATTCTCTGCGTGATAGCGCTGGGAACCGCAAGGTCGGTAGTTCAAGACCCGGCTGGTCCATGTCGAAGTGTCCCTGAGCAAGACACCCGACCCCTAATTGCTCCCCGGGCAAAAATGTAATGTAAGTCGCTTTGGATGAAAGCGTCAGCTAAATGACCTGTAATGAAATGTAACGTCCTCGGCTGCATCTCCTGTTTGTGGTTGTAGTGTCATTAGTCTGAGTGTTGTGACCTTTTAGAATAATCCAAACCACTCTACAAGGATGCTTCCAAAAATGCTCCAAACTAGAATAAATATAGGCTAACATCGTACATATAGTAGGTATAAGATATTCAAATACACCCTTTTATTAGGAATATGGGAACCATGTGACCACTTCCAATCCCATATGCTGCAATGCCAGTCCTCTCTTGACCAAATGTGTCTCAACCTTTGACTGTTCTACTGCCCGATATACAAGATGACGTGATGGTTGGCACCAATGCATTCATTAGTTTACATAATCTTAGTTTCTTTAACACATTAATGCCTGCCACATGGTTTGAATGGCTCATGAAACTGAATCAAATGGGCTCAAGCTTGTTTTTCTCCTTGTGTGTACCGTCCCCCTGAGATCTTTCTAACCTGATATCCAGGTGCTCGAATAGAGGAGTTCATCTATGACAAGCTGGACAAGAAGCTTCCCTCCAGGACGACCAACACAGAGCTGCTGGGCCAGTACATGTTGGAAGCCGCCAATGAATTTGGTCCGGGGACACCATACGGTCAGTGGGACGGATGAGGCCGTTGACTGAGACTGTTGTATCGTTGTCGTTGCTTTATGTGATAAAACGTATCAGATTTCCACTGGCTACACCAGAAACACAGGAGGCTGCTTCCCTACTCAAATAATGTGTGTTTGTTTCATTTACATCGTCAGTCTGTCCTGGTGCTGACTTCTTACACAACGTGTCACATGTGTGTATTTGTAGGCAGCACCCTGATCACGGTGGGAGAGTACCAGAAGAGACTCGGTGGAGCCGAGCGCGACCTCCTCCAAGCCTCAGCCGTCGGCTTCCTCACTCCTCTACGCAACTTCCTGGAAGGAGACTGGCGGACGATATCGGTAAGACTTTTTACTGGCTCGTCTACTGACTCACTCGCTACTTTAAGACGTTGTGTTGGATTTCAACACGACACAATGGAGGAGCAGTGCATTGCCATGGAAACCGAGTACTTTACTGTCTTCCTGCTGGAGCTGGTTGCTTCATCATAGAAACATCCCCCCGTTCCCTCCTGTCTTCTGCAGAAAGAGAGGCGTCTTCTGGAGAATCGGCGGCTGGATCTCGACATCTGCAAAGCACGTCTGAAGAAAGCCAAACTGGCAGAAGCCAAAGCAGCGGTGAGATGAAACGAGAACTTCTTCTTCTTCCTTGTCCTGTCTTCTGTAGTAGAAGTTAACATGTTTTGCAGTCATACAAACAAAGCCAAAGACTCTCTGGTACCAGGTGAATTTGATCCATTTCTAAAAACACATTTATGTGTGAATTTGTATTAATTAATTCTGCTTTATGTGCCTCAGAACGCTTTACAGTCTGTGCACATGTGACAGACATCTGAAGCCTCACATTGGCACAGGAAAAACTCCCCCAGAACTATGATTAGTGTTGATCTAGTCATCCCCTAACTTGGTGTGGCAACGCTATAACTATTCAAGAAAGTGAACTTTGACAGACTGGAACCTGCTCTGCTTCTGCTCCACCTCTGCCCGCATGCAGATGTTGCATGCAGATGTTCTGCGCTTCAGCACATGCTTTGAGTGAAAAAAGGCCTCTTGCGGGAAACTAATAGGACCAGAAGCAACGTGTCGATCGCTGCGGCTGCATTCGCAGCACCCGAGACCGTTAAATCTACTGTACAACTTCATGAATACTTGACGGGCAGGTGGCACCTTGCATTGTAGCTCCTGCCCCAGTGCATGAACCAATGGGGGAAAGATGGCATGGGGTGTGTCGGAAGAAATCAAATTGTAAACCACGCTCCGTAGTGTGATCTCTCTCTGGGGCCGAGTGTTCCGTTTTAAAAATGACTCCATGCCATAACAAATGGAGGCTATTAAAATGTCCCAATCCCAGAGATCCGTGGCGCTCTGTGGACTCTTCTGACCTCTTTTAGCATGACTTTTTCTTCATAGCAGAAAGGCAAATCCGTCTGCTAAAATAACGTTACATACTAACATAATAATGCTGATGGTGGCTGTATAACTAGGAATGTACGTATGCAGTGATGTAGAAATATCAGGAATAATGTTGAGTTATTAGAAGTAAGGCTCAGGCTATAGGAATGATTAAATACGGCATTTTTATGTTAAAACACCAGCAAAGTTAAGTGATATTTAGTAAGAAACTTTGCTAAAAGTACTTTTCCATATTCGTCATCTTTCTCTGGTGTTTTGCGTTCACAGCTTTACTGCCGAATAAATCTGTCATGTGACATATAACCATGTCAACCATGTCACCATACAAACGACCTCTGCTCCACACGTAGACGAGACAACTCCGAGCTCCATCTAATGGCAGCAACGTGGATCAACGTAAGAATGTAACTTGAGTCTCATCACTGAATGATTCAGTCAGAAGTCATTGGAGCCCTCTGACGCCCCCCCGCCAGCAGCAGCAGCAGCTGTCTACACTTTGCTCCTGGTCATTGTCTTTCTGCCGATCTGCTTTGTGTGTAACTGCGTAACGATTGTAACTGCATGACCGTGCCAACATGTGTTTCCTCCTCCCCGCTCGTGTCTGTAGGCTGCACCCGATTTTCAGGAGACGAGACCTCGAAATTATGTTCTCTCTGCCAGCGCTTCAGCGGTAAGAGTCCCGAGTGCAACGAGTGGCAACCGGCATGCAGGGCCGCAGCTATGCTAACACGCTAATAGGCACGGGTCTCTAGAACACCCTGGCTCTGATGTAGGAGGATGCCAACATACCAACCACATGTAAAGGCAGACTGTGCATCTTAAAAAAAAAACAAATTACACACATATGAAAAACAGTATTATTCAGTGTTGCTAAATTCAGGCTCCTTTGCTGCTTCACTTGATCAGATATGACTGGTAACGCTTGTGAATGTTTCTTCCAAATGTCTTTATGACCCTGCTCTCTTATGTCGCCGTGTTATATGGTCTAACCTTTCCAGTAGTTATTGGGGCCACAGGGGCAGCTGTTGAGCGAAGGTTAGAAAGATGTACGCATCTCTTCCGTCTCCATGACAACCAAGTTTGATGTTTTTACACATCTACAGATAAGTTTTAGTTTTAAATACATTGTTAGATTTTTGAAACGCCTTAAACCGTTGATGTAAGATGCACATGCTGAGTATTTATTGGCTGTAAATGACGTTGGGGCTGCAATTCTAAAGCTGGAGCAGGTGACATCAAGATGACAGCATGTTTATGCATGTTTGTTAGAAACATTATGGACAACAGCGCCACGCTGGTTTGACTTAAAATGATACGGTGTCTCTGAGGAGTTTTTAGTGCACTGATCCTAAAAGAGCACATCACAGTATAATGGATACTTTTAATACAAATCAAATCATGTTGTAGAACTTGTTGTCGCCACCGTGTCTCCATTTCTCATGTAATATCAAAAAGGTAC